GCAAATAATAATAATAATAATAATAATAATAATAATAAAAAATTAACTGTAGCATGTAGCTGTTGTGCAACTGAACAGTGGGAGCCAAACAACAGTTACCCCCCAAAAAAACCTTCAGGCTCTGAAGGTGCGCATCCTGGGGATGGTTTGTATTTAATTTGATGGATCATAAACTCCACCGCAGGCCGGCTAGTTCTCCTTTGTTTATTGGTCTTTCAGAATTTGCAGAAGATGCATTACTCATTAGAAAATCACTCTGAAAAAGGAGGCAGGGGGCTGGGGACAGGTCTCCTGCAAGCAAAGGCTCTCAGCTGTGTTAATAGTTCAATCAGGATTTATCTACCGGTCATTTAGCCCAAGGAAAGCTAACTAAAAATCTTCAAATGCACAAAAACGTAATAGCACCTCAGAACATTGCTTGTTTTCCTAGTACTCTCCAGGATGCTTTAGGGCTCAATATGCAGATAGTCCTTGACTTGTTTAGTGACCGAAGTTGCAACAGCACTGAAACAAGTTTTTCACACTTATGACCGTTGCAGCATCGCTGTGGTCACGTGCTCAAAATTCGGGCTCTTGGCAACCAGCACATATTTATGACGGTCACAGTGTCCCGGGGTCACGTGATCACCTTCCCAGAAGGCTTCTGACAAGCAAAGTCATTGGTGGAAGATAGATTCATTTAATGACCGCATGACTCATTGAACAGTGGTCTGCTTAACAACTGTGACCAAAAAAAAAGTCATAAAATGGGCCAAAACTCACTTAACCAACTGCCTTGCTTAGCAATGGAAATTTTGGGCTCACTTGTGGTCATGAGTAGAGAACCAACGTTTGGCGTTTGTAAATGCTATGAAGTTGCTTTTAATTTCTTTCCTGGCTCTCCTCCAGAGGCTCTGTCGGAAAATCTAGTATTTTGTGGTCCTTTGCTGCCCTCTTGTGGTTGTCTATGCCATTAAAGCTTTTGTTCCATTGAACTAATTTTTTTCTATACTTCCACTGGGCCCTTTTTCAAGAAGGGCCGTGAGAAAAACTATTTTATATATATATTATTAGTTTTTATAGGAGTAGGAATAAGGTGGGGTTGGGATTGGGGTTGGGATTTGGGTTAGGGTTAGGGTTGGGGTTAGGGTTTTTACAAATAACATTTTCAATATTTAGCAAACAGCATAATGTCTGGTTCATGTGTTTAAAGCAAAAAACAATGAGTAAGTTAATTATCATAAACAATATGTTCATTAATCGCTCGATGGTCTTCTTCTTGCTAATATATATTCAAAGTTACATATCACATTCCTTTCTCTCTAATTCATTTTTCTAGCCATTGATAAAAAATATCCCACGTTCTAAAATATACTTTTTTCTCTTTTATCTTTAAAGTCAATCTATCCATTTCTGCACACTCTAAAATTTTCTTAATTAATACTTCTTCAGTTGGTAAATTTTCATTTTTCCAATATTGGGCAAATACAATTCTTGCTGCAGTTAGTACATATAGAATTAAATATATAGTCTTTCTTGTAATTTGCTCCTATTGTTCCTAACAAGAATAATTCTGGCTTAAAGTCTATTTGTTTTTTAGTCATTTGTGAGAAAAACTATTGAAGCTTCTTTCTCCCACCTTGACCCCAAATCTTGGCAAAAATCTCCTGCATGAATAGAAATACAAGGGAGAGAAAAATCAGCTTGGGGGAGGTTACCCGTTTCCAACAATGCGGCATATTTAAAGCCTGCCTCTCCAAGGATCATGCTTTATTTGTGTAATATAATAAATTGTGCCATTTATTTTTCAAATTTGTAGAGCTACTCAACTCATGTTTAGGAATCTGGGTGGCTTACAACAGTGGAAAGAATTTAAATCAACAATGCCACAGTTTAAAAAAAAAAAAAGAATATAAAAGCATATAAAAATTTCATCAAGCATCCTAAAAATTCGTGAACTTCACAGCTGAGACAACCACATCTATTAATAAGGCTCGGTACAACCCCTGTATGTATTTTTCCCCATTTTATCCTGCTTTTCTTTTTATTTTAAAATATAACCAGTCCGGAGACGTTCTAAAGCTCTGAAGGCCTTTAAAAAAATAAAGGGACGTTGTGAAGTAGAAACGTAATTAAGATGAATATAAGTGAGTGTAATAAAATAACTATCATAGCCAGGAACCACAAGACAGCTTGAAAACAACAAACGGCAAACATCAGTCACAACCTAAATACTGAAATCAGCCGGAGGAAAGGTTTTAGTAATCATAAAAAGCTATTTTCCTTCACACCTCAACTTTAGCAAGTACCATCAAAACTGTTGAGGACAGGAAATTCCGCAATGAAGGACTCTTATTGCTTTTTAGGACTGGAAGTGCTGATGGTGGGCTGGCAAGCAAAAATATTTTGGGCAACACACACCACACTCTCAAAGCTTTAAACATTTTTTCTGGAGGAGGCACAGTGGTGAAATCCAACTAAATTCAAAAATCAGGAGCTTGGCAAACACCTTTTCAGATTAACACAGTTTAATAAAAAGTTTCACATTATTGTTGTTGTTGTCACACACCCAGCCAGATGTTTCAACTGGACTTGGCATTTTTATCCACCTATTGACCACTTTCTAAAGACCTGGGATAGACAGATGTGGTTGTTTGATAGTGTTGAGGGAGGCTCAGCCAATTTCACTGTATACATGTTACACTTTGATAATGAAGGGTTTATTTATTTATTTTTATTTATTGATAGTCTCATTGCAAAATGTAAGCTGTTCTAAATAAAGATGCCTTTTGCAATTGACCGACGGTGATTTTGTCAGTGCCGCCTATGGTATTTAAATGGTGCTCCAGATATTTTGGGATGGTTTTTATTCTGGGTTGATCACACAATCAACCAGATGTTTAGACTGGAATACGGTATTTTTGTCCACCTATTGAATTAAAGGTATTGTAGGAAGTAAATCCATAGGGATTTTGTCAATTGCAAAAGCCAGCTTTATTTGGAACTTATATCTTGCAACAGTACTTTTAATGCCACCAAACAACATTTGCAACATACAAGTTTAATAAACTATAATGGTTTATAATTTCAATTGTAAGTGGTTATTATGATTTGGCACAGTCAGCCGGATATTCAGACTGGATTTGACATTTTTATCCACCTATTATTAATTTTTATTATTAGGCGTGAACTATTTTCTTATAAGCAGGTCTATGTACCATCGCCAAGAGCTGGCGATAAGATCAACTACCTTTTATTGAAGCAATGCACTGCTTTGAAAATAATTTTTGGTTAATTGAATGGAAGATAAAGACTCTCTCTCTTCCCTCCCCCCCCCTTTCATTTTTCCACCTCTGCAAATTTTGATGCAGCTACGCAACTTGAGGTGACGTTACAAAGGAAAGTTGTCTACTTGGATGTAATTGCTTTGGAAATGGGTAAGTTTTTTTTTTTAATCTTCTGAGAATGATATCCCAGTTTACCTGCATTTATTTGGAGCGAAGATTTGCTAGTTTTAATTAGTTTCTAATGAATGCATGTGCTACAGTGTTGTGATATTCCCCGGCCTAAGTACACACGCTCAGAAGATAGCAGTCTGAATGCAGCACCAGTGGCACATAATTGTAAAGATGTATTTTTTTAAAAAATGGCTAAGATGAGATTTTGGTAGGCCCAGAAGCCCACGGAAGAGAAGCTTTTTTTCAGAGGGAGTTATTTTAAAGATAGTGTTAAAAAAAGATAGCCTTAATGTGTTTGATTGGATCAGCTGCCCTTAAAAGTGAATTTTTCTTGCAAGTCACCCTATTTGTTCCCACAGGGTGCAACGTAACTTTTTCCTCTGGCTTAGATCCCAACTCCCATTATCCCCAGTGAGCCTCAGACCAATAAACACCTTTCACAGGGTGGATTTTGATGATTTCAGCTCCCATCATCCTTTCACCAGGAAACAGGAAGATTCTGTGGAGGGCACCAAGTTGGGGAACTATCTGCCCCGACCAGCCTGCCCCCCCCAAAATCAAATTCCATTGTCCCATCCTTGTGGGGATGATGGGACCTGAAGTCACCTTGGAGAGAGGGATGAAGGGAAGTAGATGCTTTTTAGAGCCCAACCCCATCCTCTTGGGGACGATGGGAGATGGAATCCACTGAGTTTGGAGAGGAAAGCAGGAAAGGAGGGGAGGCAACTCTGACCCAATTGCTCTGAGGATGATGGGAACTGGAGTCCTCCTTATTTGTGGGGGAGGTAACCCTTCTCTACTGGGGACTGCCTCCATCCTTGGTGAGGATGGGTGCTGAAGTCCTGCTGGGGGAAAGGCAGCCCCTTCCCCACCGGAGACCCCCCCATTCTTGGGGATGATGGGTGCTGGAGTCCTTGTTGGAGGAGAAGCAGCCCCTTCCCCATTGAGACCCCTTTTTCCTTGGGGATGATGGCCCTGGAACTCCCTGGAGGGGAGGCGGCCTCTTCCCCACCGGGGACCCCTCCCCACCGGGGACCCCTCCATCCTTGGGGATGATGGGTGCTGGAGTCTTCGTTGAAGGAGAAGCAGCCCCTTCCCCATCGAGACCCCCTCTATCCTTGATGGCCCTGGAGTTCCCCTGCAGGGAGGGGGGAGAGTCAGCCCCTTCCCCACCGGGGACCCCTTCATCCTTGGGAACGATGGACACTAGAGGCCCTCTTCGGGGTTCGTTTGGGGAGAAGCAGCCCCTTGCCTATCAGGACCGTTGCATCCCTGGGGACGATGGGTGCTGGAGTCCCTCCTTGGGCAGGGCCAACCCCTTCTCCTTCGGCACCCCCTCCCTCCTCGGGGATGATGGGCGCTGGAGTCCCTCCTTGGGCAGAGCCAACCCCTTCTCCTTCGGGACCCCCTCCCTCCTCGGGGATGATGGGCGCTGGAGTCCCCCTGGCTGGCCAAGGCAGACCCTTCCCCAGGGGCCGGGCCGGGACCCCTCCTCCTTCCCTCCCCCCTCCCTCCCTGGCGGGGGGGCGGGGCGGGGGAGGGCGGGGAAGGGGCGGCCCGGCGGGGCTCGGCCGGGCGGCGGGTGGGGCCGGCTGGGCTGGGCTGGGGCGGCGAGGCCTGGAGCGGCGCGGCGATGCGGCCAGGATGGCCGTCTCGGGGCTGAAGGCCGAGCTGCGGCTGCTCGAGTCCATCTTCGGCCGCGACCACGAGCGCTTCCGCATCGCCTCCTGGAAGCCCGACGAGCTGCACTGCCTCTTCGTGCCCCCCGCCGCCCCCGGCCCGGCCCCGCCGCCGCCGACGCCGCTCGCCATCCACTGCAACATCACGGTGCGCCGGGGGGGGGGGGAGGCGGGTCGGGACGGGCGGGGGTCGCGGTCGGGTCTTCTCCCCTCCTTCTCCCGGCCCCGCCGGCCGGCTGAACCCCCCCCCACAGGGAATTGGGGAGGGGGCACCGGGGCTGCCCCTCGCCCCCCCCTCCAGGCTGCCAGTGGGGAGGGGGCTGGTGGTCGCAGGGCAGACGTGGGGCCGAGGGAGTCTCTCTCCCCCCCCTTTGGAGAGCGGGCACTGCCGGGGGGGGGCCCGAGGAGGACCCCTCCCCCCCAAAGCTGGAGGGTCTCGTCTAGAGGCGGAGCGGGGGGGGGGTCGGGCAGAAAGCCGGGCTCGACGGGGAGAGGACGCCTTCCTTCGGGGAGGGGGGGAAGGGGAAGCGCCCCCCAGCGCTGCAAGCCGCCGCTGAACTCTGTGCAGGCTCAGAGGCTGGAGCCCGTCGCGGGCCAAGGTTGGCCCGACGCTCCGGAAAGCTTGGGAGGGGAGTGGGTGGGTGGGTGTGAGGACGCCGCCAGAAACCGCACGTCCCTTCCAAGGCGTTGGGGGGGGTGTGTGTGTTGTGTTGTGTTGTGTGTGTGAGAAGGACTACATGTCCCATCTTAGAGAAAACCTGGCTGGCGGTGGGAAAACTCTCCCCCCCCCCCAATTCAGATCTCTCGTCTGTCTTTCTCTCTCCGGAAATTGGGCTTGAACTCCCCAAGTTTTGAAAGGCGAATGGGAAAGGAAATGTCCCCCCCCCTCCCGTCGCTTCCCCCCCCCCCCCGTCTTTAAACAAACAGTGTAGCTTTCGGCTCGATTTTGCAACAAACAGGAAGCCCAAACATTGGAAGACGCCGCTGCGCTCGGCTCCTTCCGCTCCGAGTTCTGACCTAGGGCTTAATTTTTTTTTTTTTTTAAAGGGATGGGGTAGGAGGGAGCAAAGGCCTTTCCCCCCCCCTCTTTTTTTGCCCCCCCCCCCTAGGATTAAAGGGGCTGTTTCTGAATGAAGGGAGAATTCAAAAGCCTCCACTGGTTAGCATTGCAAGGAACTGGGGGGGGGGGAAATAAAATAAAATAAAATAAACCCTCTTCTTTTCTAATACAGGTTGTTCTCAACTTATGGAGCCCAAAATTTCTGTTGTTAAGGGAGACGGTGGTTAAGTGAGATTTAAGACCTTGTCAAGTGAATGATTGCAGTTGTTAAGTAACAAGGGGGGGGGGGTAAAGCAAAGCTGGCTTTTGCTTGTCCGAAGGTCGCAAAAGGGGATCACGTGACCTCAGGATGCTGCGACCGTCATAAATATGAGTCGGTTGCCAAGCGTCTGTATTTTGACTAGGGATGCTGCGACGGTTATAAGGGGTGAAAAAATGGTCCCAAATCACTTTTTTTCAGTGCCGTTGTAACTTTGAACGGTCATTAAATGAACGGTTCAGAGGAGGGTTACAGTTCATTTCGGAACCAGCCTTGGTACGCTTGAAAGAGGTGGATTTTCTAATAGAGAAGCAGGCAAAAATATTCCTCTCTCATCTTTAAGCCTGGAATTAAGGAGGGGGTGTCCGAAGCAACTCCTGTTGAATTAAAGGAAGTGAGGTAGACTTAGGCAGACCCCATTCAAAAGTAAGATTTTGCCAGGGCAAAAGATTGTGTAATTTGGGATCTCTCCAGCTTGGCCTGGCCATTTCCAACCTCCCTTCAAATGAGCTTCTACTTTATCAAAAATTAGGAGGGCATTTGGGAGTAGAATTAGGCCTGAAGGGAAGATCCATCACTGGAGGTTTTTAAGAAAAGACTGGACAGCCATTTGTCTGAAATAGTATAGGGCAGGGGTAGGCAACCTTGGCTCTTTTATGACTTGTGGACTTCAACTCCCAGAATTCCTGAGCCAGCCATGCTGAGGGGAAAGGGAGAGGTTTCCAAGCTGAGCCATGCTGGCTCAGGAATTCTGGGAGTTGAAATCCACAAGTCATAAAAGAGCCAAGGTTGCCTACCCCTGGTATAGGGTTTCCTGCCTGAGCAGGGGGTTGGACTAGATGATCTCCAAGGTCCCTTCCGATATTATTATTATTATGGATCATCACATAGTCAGCCAGATGTTCAGACTGGATTTGGCATTTTGTCTACCTATCGAGTCCTTACCCAGGACCTGGGATAGGCAGATGTGGATGTTTGATGGTATTACAGATATCGTCGCAGGATGGAAGCAGTTCCTAATAAGGCCGCCTTTTGCAATTGACTAATAGCGAATTTGTCAATGCCAATGGTGTTCAAGTGGTGCTCCAGTTGTTTTGGGATTGCACCCAAGGAGCCTATGACTATTGGTACTACCCTTGCTTGCTTTTGCCACAGTCTTTCTATTTCTATTTGTAGGTCTTTGTATTTTGTTATCTTCTCCAGTTCTTTCTCTTCTATTCTGCTGTCTCCAGGCACTGCCACGTCCACTATCCAGACTTTTTTGTCTTTCTTATCGACAATTGTTAAGTCTGGGGTGTTATGTTGCAGGTGCTTGTCTGTTTGAATTCTGAAGTCCCAGAGCAGTTTAATTTTATCATTTTCTATGACTTTCTCTATTTTATGATCCCACCAGTTTTTGCTTACAGGCAAATGATATTTTTTGCAGATCTTCCAATGCACCATTGTTGCTACTTTGTCATGCCGCTGCTTGTAGTCAGTCTGTGCAATCTTCTTGCAACAGCTTACCAGGTGGTCCACTGTTTCTTCAGCTTCTTTGCATAGGCGGCACTTACTGTCTGTTGCTGTCTTCTCAATTTTGACTTTATATGCATTTGTCCTTAAGGCTTGGTTTTGTTGTTGTTGTTGTTGTTATTATTATTATTATCATCCCTCTTGGAAGCATTCAGATTTAATGCAAACACCAAATAAAACTCCTAACCTTGCAAATGGATAACATAAAACCTTTTCATTGGAATTTTTCTTCTTAATTTCTTGATCCACTTTAGTTTCGGATCAAGGGTTGAATGGCAGGAAACCCTGACGTTGACATCGGCTTTTCCAGGCAGAGCAGGGAGTGAGTAATCCATAGCACTCCTGCTATGGGTTACTCACTGGGGCTTAACAGGGCCCCAGTTTGGCGTGGGCATTTGTATGGGCTAAACTGGAGTCCTGTAAGAACTTGTCCCAGCTTTGCCCGGACAGGCAGTGTTCTGGTTCCGGCAGTGATCCTGCTTGGCAGGCAGAACCCCCCCCCTTTTATTTTGCAATCGCTCTCCGGCTGGCTTCAATTTCCCTCTCCCCAAGGGGGTCAGGGATCACAGTTTGCAAATCCCTAGGATAATTTGCTTAAAAGCGGTGATATCTGTATAGACCAGGGGCAGGCAACCTTGGCTCTTTTATGACTTGTGGACTTCAACTCCCAGAATTCCTGAGCCAGCATGGGGGAAACTATGGCCCCCTCATGACTTGTGGACTTCAACTCCCAGAATTCCTGAGCCAGCGTGGAGGAACTATGGCCCCCTCATGACTCGTGGACTTCAACTCCCAGAATTCCTGAGCCAGCATGGAGGAACTATGGCCCCCTCATGACTCGTGGACTTCAACTCCCAGAATTCCTGAGCCAGCATGGTTCAGCTTGGAAACCTCCCCCTTTCCCCTCAGCATGGCTGGCTCAGGAATTCTGGGAGTTGAAGTCCACGAGTCATAAAAGAGCCAAGGTTGCCTACCCCTGGTATAGACCATGGAGAGAATCCTCCATTGAGTGCAGTTGTAACTATGAATAGTCACTAAACAAACTGTTGTAAGTCAAGAAATACCTGTATTTTTATTATGGTTGGGGGGAGAAATCAGTTATGGTAGAATTGAATATGACATTATGCATATATTTAATTTGGTGGTTGGGGGCTAGAGAAAAGCATTTGGCCCTGGAAGACAGAATCTTGTAATGGGCAGAGGGAGAGAGCAACGGGGGGGGGGGGTTGCCTGGAGCATGGCATGGTGGTCAGTATACAACTGGGGGGAGGAGTAGGAGGGGGGGCTGCCTGTAGCTCAAAAATCCTCTGTTTGCAGAGCCTGGGGTGCCTTTTTACAATTGGCCAGTACGGTTTCTGCCTTTTTAAACCAGCCAGAAAATATTAATGTAATCCCTAAAGGCAAAGTTTAAAATACTCTCCTGGTCACTTTTGACTTTTCTTGGCAGTATATGGAAGAGGTTTGATGTTGCTGCTTATTTTATTTTTCCCAGCCTCCCATTCTGGCACACCATGGTTGTCCCCCTCAACCAAACACCAACCAGATCCAGCCATGTTTGGACCCGGTACTCTTCCCCCAAACCCTTTTTGCAGGGAATTAAATGGGAGATCAGCCCAGTGGGGCCTCCCTCCCTAGCCCTGCTTTTCATCATCAAAATATGTTCCTTTTCCTGAGCTGCCTCAAAATGTTGGTGAGGGTCCTGAGTGGGAAGCCCCTAGCAGGAATTCCATTTGGGGAATGCTGTTCTCAAGAGACGGGAGATCCGGATCGAGCAATGGCGAATGGCAGAGAATCACAGGAGATTGAGGAAAGGAGATTCCATGCTGTGGGGATTGTGTTGAGTTGAACTAGAAATACACACAGGAGTTGTCTGCTGGCAAAGAAGTGCAGACAGGCTGGGAGGGAAGAGTCCGAAAATCAAAAGGAGGCTGGCAGAGATCCTGGGGGTTGGGCGAGATTGAAAAATAATCAAGATCATCCTAGTTTTGAGCGGAGACCAGGATTATTTCTGGGACAAAAATATCCAGATCTCCTGCTCCTTAAATCTCACTTAGCTCTGTTGCTTAACTACAGGAGCTGCTCAGTCCTGAATCTGTAAAATGGGACTCAGAATATTTCTGATGGGATTCCTCCCCTCCTTACCAAGCTGTTGTGCAGATTAGATTGATTTCTTCCTCTGCTGTAGCCATGGCTGGTTTAAAGGAGGGTTTGTTGCCTAGGCCAAAGTTGACGAAGTTTGCAAGGCAAGGCAAACACTAAACTTACTTTTACTGGCTGCCATGACTTTAGTTCATGCAACAGGGCTGGGTGAGAGATCCTTCACCTCATTAATCAATGAGCCAGGTGGCTTTGGTGAACAGAACCATATTTAGGCACCGCCATGTAATTTTGCTTGTCAAGGCTGTTTTGGGGAATAGGAAAGCCGTCCAGCAGATGTTGGTTTTGGTAGAAGTTTGAAGATGTTGCTTCTTTCCTTGCATCCTCTCACAGAGAAAGGAAAATGCAAATTGTTCCGTAGCCCTGAGATTTTTGTACAGCTTTCTTCAATCTTGAGTGCCTTCTGGGTATTTAGAACTACACTTCCTATCTTCCCTAGTTATCACCATAGAAGGACAAAGCTGTTGTCAAACAATGAGCGTGGCTCGGGTTGTGAGCTGTCCTTGAACGGCAGGATTCTGTGTCCTTGCTAGACACTGGGTCACCAAAACAGGAATTTCAATCAAAGGCCTCGTCAACCTCACCCCGTGGCTGGCACACTGCCTGCTGCAATCCCTGTATGGGGGAAACGGTAGCCTTTGTGCCAGGAAGATAGATAGATATTCTTTTTGGGACAGAGCTGTCTTTCTCAATCTTAGCAAGACTTCAACTCCCAGAATTCCCCAGCCAGCCCTGCAACAACCATGCAATTCCCATAAGAACTGCAGGTTCCCTTAGCAAGCGTGGGGGTGGGGGGGAAGTCATAAAGTCAGGCCTATTTAACTACCACCTTGCTTAGCAACTAGTCCCAATTCTCGACGTGTTTCGAGGACTACCTACAGAACTCGAACCCAACTCCAGGCAAAGGCAACATTAATTTGGTCCTGGATGATGTCAAGTCACCACCCCCATGCGTGGAGGTGCTGTGCCATGCGCAGCAAACAAGATGTGCCGCCAAAGGGAATTGTTTGTTCCACGTGGGACAGAGCATTGTGTTCAGGCAAAATCTTTACGCAGTCGAGCCGTGAAGCCGTCAACACCCTGGATAAAGAAAGCAGCCAGGGCAACTTGTCCCTGGACACTGGCATCCTCTCACGTCCCAGGGATGGGCTTCAGATCTTTGGGGATGTGGGCAAGGGGTGGCACTCAGCTGGCCTTGGCTTAGAGGCTAAGCTGGGCCCACCCTGGTTGACATTTGGGTGGGGGACCCTCTGGGGAATTCCAGAAGTTCTGGATAAACAGAGGAGTTGGAAAAGGAAAACGGCAAATTTGCTTCCACAAAACAGCCCAGAAAATTACGTGAGGCTTGTAGGCAGAGAACCCTGGCAGCCCGTGATCCTCAAAAATCAGGAGGCATGTGGACGCACATTTCAAACCCTCTTATTAAAATGATTTATAATAAATCACTGCTAGACTGAAAGGTGTTCTGACACTCCTCCTGATCGGGTGTATCTGGGTGTTGGTAATTCAGAGGCAGGTTGTAAAAAAGACAGTGCAAACATTGCGAGAGGGAGCAGCAGGTCCAGTCCGGTACTAAAATAAAATCCGAGGCAGACTCTTTGATCTGAAGGTGAGCAAAATGGCTCCTCATTAGCATGGTTTGCTTTCACAGTTGCTAATTGCTGAGGGCAAGCCGTGGCTCCTTGATCATCGGAAAGGGAAGTCCACCCAATTACAGAGGCAGGAACAAGGATGGGGATGGACCCTTCTCTGCTTCTAAAGCAGGGGTTCTCAACCTTGACAACTTTAAGACTTGTGGACTTCAACTCCTGTTCTAAAGAGATGGGGTTTTTTTGGGGGGGGGGAGAAAGCCAGCAGCCCTCTCTCCCTGATAAGTTAGTCTTCTACCTGCAAGGAATTGGATCTGTTTGAAGAGTTTTGCAACGGTTGGGAGAGAGAGCAGAGCTGGTGTTAACAATAGCAGGCCCAGTTCGTATTGACCTATATATCTCCAGACCTCAGTCGATGAGGTCTAGGGAGATTCTCAAGCATCCAAGCTGGGGTTGTCCCAAAGGTGCTTTTTTCCAAAAGGCAACTGGACTTTCTTGTTCTTTTTTTTTTTCTTGAAAACTTCATTTCTTATCCATGAAGCTTCTTCAGTTCAAAGAAATGTCTTCTTTCTTTCTTTCTTTCTTTCTTTCTTTCTTTCTTTCTTTCTTTCTTTCTAAATTTTATTGGTTTTTAAAACATAAATCACATAATAGTCGGTTAAGAGTGTGTTTGCTTGGTTTACATTTGTAAGGAAAGATCGTTAACACTTGATTTCTATAATTCGTAATCCACATATTCCAACACATGTCTCTTTTTCTCTTAAATATTCTCTCTGGTGGGTCCCATCATCTATATTCTAAATTTTCATTTAATATTTTCAATATGAATCAAGAGAGTTTTTCCGTCTGTTTTTCCCCAACTAATTGTGCAATTTATTCCAGATTTCATAATAATCTGTGTCACTCTTATCCTTAAGTTCTAATGTCAACCTATCCATTTCCGCACAGGATAAAATCTTATTTATTACTTCTTCTTCTGAGGGTGTCTCATTATCCTTCCATCTCTGTGCAAAGGCTAATCTTGCTGCTGTTAGCATCTGTAATAATAGGTATAGGGATCCTTTATTGCAGTGTTTCTCAACCTTGACAATTTTAAGGCATGTGGACTTCAACTCCCAGAATTCCACAGCCAGCAATGCTGGCTGTGGAATTCTGGGAGTTGAAGTCCACATGCCTTAAAATTGTCAAGGTTGAGAAACACTGCTTTATTGTATCTATCCTTAGTGATACCCAACAGAAAGAGCTCTGGTTTTAGCTCAATGTCCTGCATTAGTATCTCTTCTAGCCGCTGTTTTATCAAATGCCAAAATTTTTGTACTTTTGAACATTCCCACCACATATGATAGTAGGTCCCTACTGATTCTTTACGTTTCCAACATTAAAGAAATGTTTTCAAGGGGAAAAGCCCAGTTGCCTTTTGGAAAAACACCTTTGGATCAAAGGGTGATGCCAAACCAGCCCTGCCCATTAGACGTCGCCTACCTCGCAGGGTTCGTTGTAAACTTACCGCAGGGACCACTCCAGCTTCCTGGGGAGAAGGGAGGGACTCTCACCTTGCTTGCCAAGGAAGAGCAAATGCCATTTTCGGCCAAGGGCTGCAGAGTCTGCCCTGATGGCTGTGGCATCGAGATAAGTTTTGCCCATCTGTGAAGTGCGATAAATGCAAACAGCGTTTATCCAGATAGGAACCGTTGTTTCCTTTGGGGGGGAGGCAGAAATGCTGGAAGTGTCTCTCTTTCATTTTCAGTGCCGGCTGCCACTTCTGGTTGCATCAGGAGCAAAACAAGCAGATTGAATCATGACATGAATTGGTGGGTTTTATTTTCTGGTGGAGAATCATCCTATAATTTCCAGAATCCCCGAGGCGATGCTAAGGCATTTGTGAGTTTTCTGTGCTAAGCTATTTGTTCTCCCTCACGTTGCAGGAGTCTTACCCGTCTTCGTCGCCAATATGGTTTGTGGAATCAGATGACCCCAACTTGACTTCAGTGCTGGAGCGATTAGAGGATATTAAAAGCAATACTTTGGTAAGAAAAATCCATCCTGGAGCTTTCTTTAATCTGAGGGGGGCCTCGGGTTCGAATCTCAGAAGGGTTCAGTTTTTAATGACGTTCAACTCGGAGAGTTTACCCTCCATCCAGCAAAGCCCTTCACAAAATAACAATGATCTCATCGGGTCAATAATGTATTTTAATTACTAACACCAGAGCTAAATAACATTCACAAATCCTTCAGCAACTGCAAGTCAGGAAGTGAATAAATGCTGCTTCAAGGTGGGAAACCTGCCTGCAGTGTGCTACAGAAGAAAACTATTTTTGCAAACAAACTTAGACAGGGTTATTATTTTGATTTACATCCCCGTGTTCTGCACATGCAGGAGAAAGCAGGAGGAAAATCTCTCTTTCCAAACATCGTTTCCAGCACCTTGAAGGCCCAGTAGGTAGAAATTTGAAAAAAGAACAGCTTCCTTCTCTTATCGTCGTCCTGCAGCAAGCTGGATCCTGGCTTCGAATGCTGGCTTCTGTTTTCCCTTTTGTCTTTAGTCATGCTGCAGTTCTCTTTTTTATTGGCAAACTTAATTGTCTCCCTGCTGGCACTCAGAACCCATTTTTAATGTTTGTCTGTGCAGCAATTGGATTTTTGAATTGCTTTCCCTAAGCCAGCTGCCAAGGGTTTTATTTTCAGAGGCTGGAGAATCATTGACTAATTCCAAGAACTGTGGAAAACTAGTACAGGCCAGTCCTCAACTTACGACCACAGATGTTCTGTTGCTAAGCAAAATGGTTATTAAGTGAGGCACGCCTACTTTTTTGCTCAGCGTATCGCTGCAGCTGTTAAGTGAATCACCGGCCATTAAGCAAACTCAGCTTCCCCCCCCCCCCCGTCAACTTTGCTTGCTATGAAGGTCGCAGATTTATTTATTTTTATTTATTTATGAGACTTATATACCGCTTTAAGTGCAAGCACTCTCTAAGCGGTGTACACCAGTAAGCAATGTATATATAGATAGGAATCATGTGACCCCAGAGCTCTTGAACCATCATAAATCCTTGCTGTGCACCCAAATTATGATCACGTGACCGTGAAGATCGTGTGATGGTCATAAGTGTAAGGATCAAGTTGTAAGACTCTTTTTTCCGCGCTGTTGTAAACTTTGAACAGTCGCTAAAATGAATGGTTGTAAGTCAAGGAACTAAAGAGAAGGCTTCTGGATCAGGTTTGATGTCTTGATTTTTCGTGCACTCTGGCATGAATTTTGATCAGAGGAGGGAGTGGATCAGGGCTTTCTCTGCCCATTTTGCTAGAATAATTGGAACAGAGCAAACTGTTTCCAAAGGAATTTAGTGAGGGCTAAAGATCTAACTCTAATAAGAAAAGTACTAGATCAGTGGTTCTCAACCTGTGGGTCGGGATCCCATTTGGGGTCGAACGACCATTTCACGGGGGTCGCCAAACAACACAGTCCGCCATTTCCCCCCCCCCCTTTCCTTAGCTGTGCTACTCCCTCTTATTCTACTGGCTTTTGAAAGCCAATCGAATAGACTCTCTTGAATAGAGTCTAATTCTATTGGCTTTCAAAAGCCAATAGGAATTGTCCAGGCTGTCTCTGCCCTGCTGAGCCCGCCAAAAGCCCCAGTCTGCAAACGGTGCTGCACCAGTTGAGTAGTCCTCGACTTACGACCGGTTGGGGGTCGCGGCATTAAAAAGGTTGAGAACCACTGTACTAGATGTTTCCTTGATCCCTGGATTTGTTAGTAGAGACCGCTCGCCTTTGGCTCGTAACTCAAGGGAAACCAGCGTTCCTTGTGGGACATGAGCTGAAGAAGCAGGAAACCCCCCCCCCAACCAGTGTGGAATGGGACAACTCGCTGCAGCCAACTCACCACACCCAACTCACTGCGGGACAATTTAACAATTCAATTTAATAATTTAAAACAAATTAAAAAAGTTATTTGAATTGACATCATTTCCCATTTCATTCTGTCCCTCCTTTTACATCCTTCCTTAAATGATTCTGCTCCACCACTTCTTCGACATTAGTGTAATTCTTGAAGCAAGTTTGTCCCATCTTGAATTGGCCATGATGAGCTGGCCGTGTTGAATTGTCCTAGACCAGTGGTTCGCAACCTTTTTAATGCCGCCACCCCCAACCGGTCGTAAGTCGAGGACTACTCAACCGGTCGTAAGTTGAGGACTACTCAACTGGTGCAGCACCGCTTGCAGAATGGGACTTTTGGCGGGCTCAGCAGGGCAGAGACAGCCCGGACCATTCCTATTGGCTTTGGAAAGCCAATAGAATTAGACTCTATTCAAGAGAGTCTATTCTATTGGCTTTCAAAAGCCAATAGAATAAAAGGGAGTAGCACAGCTAAGGAAAAGGGGGGAAAAATGGCGGACTGCGTTGTTTGGCGACCCCCGTGAAATGGTCGTCCGACCCCAAATGGGGTCCCGACCCACAGGTTGAGAACCACTGGCCTAGACCCAACCACGGAGGCCTCTTTCAATCGCCTTTTTTCCCCCGCAGCTTCTCCAGCAGCTGAAGCGATTGATCTGTGACCTCTGCCGACTCTACAACCTTCCCCAACATCCGGATGTCGAAATGTTAGATCAGCCCTTGCCATCTGGCCAGGTAAGGAAGGCCCTGTTGAAAGGCCTTGAGGACACAGGACTAAAAGTTCTGCCAAGCAGGCAGAGGACTGCACAGTTTCATCCCACGGGGTGAGAGAGGTGACTCAGAAGTCTGTCATTGCTGGCCAGAGCGAGTGGCTGTTTGAGGGATGCTCCACGGTGGCTGTCCGTGCAGGCCAGGCGTTTGTTGACACCCCTAGAAGCTCTTGGCTTCCTTGCTCAAGTCATCTTCGTGGAGAAGGCAGTTTGTTTAGTTGATGAGGATCTTTTACTGTGTTCTAGAATGGAACGACCGAAGAGGCGACATCAGAAGAGGAAGAGGAGGAAGATATGGGTGAAGTAGGTGGCCTTTGCTTGCTTGCAGCCTACTCTTCTCTTCATTTTTGCTTCTGGATCTTTATCTGTCCAGAAAACGAAGGTGGGAAGGTCTAAGGAAGTCATCGGAGGTCAGTGCTCCGACCTAGTGCTCTCCAGATGTTCTGGATTCTAGCCAGCAACGAAGAGTCCCTCACATCTGGAAGGCATCAAATTGTCTTCCGTATCGTCTGGTTCCACCTCTTAGAAAGCCCCTTTGTTTGAACCAGTCGGATCTTCTCCCAGAGCTGGCCTGGTCTGGATCAGTCCAGATTAACAGAATAACAAGAGTTGGAAGGGACCTTGGAGGCCTTCTAGTCCAACCCCCTGCTCAGGCAGGAAACCCTATACCATTTCAGACACATGGTTGTCCAATCTCTTCTTAAAAACCTCCAGTGATGGAGCACCCACAGCTTCTGGAGGCTGGTTGTTCCACTGGTTAATTATTCTAACGGTCAGGAAGTTTCTCCTTAGTTCCAGGTTGCTTCTCTCCTTGATTAGTTTCCATCCGTTGCTTCTTGTCCTGCCTTCGGATGCTTTGGAGCAGGGGTTCTCAACCTTGGCAGCTTTAAGACTTGTGGACTTCAACTCCCTGAATTCCTCAGCCAGCTTTGCTGGCTGAGGAATTCTGGAAGTTGAAGTCCACAAGTCTTAAAGTTGCCAAGGTTGAGAACCCCTGCTTTGGAGAATATGTAGGACACCCCCCCCTCTTCATTGTGGCAGCCCCTCCAATATTGGAACACTGCTATCATGTTGCCCCTAGTTCTTCTTTTCATTAAACTATCCAGTCCAGATCTTCTGTAATCTTCATGCTCCCTTCCGCTGCTCCAGTTGTGGCATTGTAAGCCTTGCCTGTTCCTATCCTAAAGTCTTCCGGTAGCCTCTCCTGGCTGAGAAACAGGCGTGATCCACGCAAACCGCCGGATGGCTGGCGTGTTCCTGAGCTTCTGCTTTCCAGCACTCTGCCATCTTGTCTTTTAGGACATTGATCTGGATCATTACGACATGAAGGAGGAAGGGCCTGCCGAAGGGAAGAAATCCGAGGATGAGGGCATCGAGAAGGAGAATCTGGCCATTCTGGAAAAAATCCGAAAGAATCAAAGGGAGGATCACCTAAACGTAAGTGCTTGGTAGGTGCGAGGAAAGGGATCCATTAGAACAGTGGTTCTCAACCTTTCTAATGCCGTGACCCCATAATACAGTTCCCCATGTTGTGGTGACCCCCAAGTGGGTGTGGCCACCAATAAGAGGGAGTAGGACAGCTAGGGAAAAGGGGGGAAAAAATGGCGGACAGCGTGGTTTGGCGACCCCCGTGAAATGGTCGTTCGACCCCAAATGGGGTCCCGACCCACAGGTGGAGAACCACTGCATTAGAAAGTTTATTGCATTTCCCGTATGAAAGAAACGAAAGCGGAAGGAGGGCGTTAGAGGCACCCCACGCCTTTTCGCTGGCCTTGAATTCATGTCATTTTAGACTTCTGAAGGATCACCTTGAAATGGCCTGTATTGAAGGTAGACCTCAATTTATGCCCACAATTGAGGCTGCAACTTCCAGGGCTAAGCCACGTGGTCATTGAGTGAGTTGCACCCAATTTTACCTTCTCCCCCCCCCCCCAAAGTCACTAAGTGTATCCTGCATTGGTTTTGCTAGTTGGAAGCCTCTTAGGAAGATCCTAGATTGGCTTCCAAAATTGGCAATGTTACAATATGTGGACTTCAATTTCCAGAATTCTTCAGCCAGCCTGGCTGGCTGAGGAATTCTGGGAGTTGAAGTCCACAAGTCTTAAAAGTTGTCCAGTTTGGTGAGCTTGGGAGACAAAAACCCATCATAAATACCTGCCTGTTGCTAAGCACCTGAGTTTTGATTACATGACCATGGGGACATCGTGGCAGTTGTAAGTGTGAAAAAAAGATCCCTTTTTTTCAATGCTGTCATAACTTCAAATGGTTATTAAGTAATGGTTGTAAGTCGAGGGCCACCTGTATATGGTATTTTTATTTTGCATTTTATTTGAGTAGATTATATCTTGTTTTTCTCCCTTTTTCTGTCTGCAGGGTGCAGTTTCTGGATCTGTCCAAGCATCGGATCGATTAATGAAAGAGCTCAGGGATATATATCGGTCACAAAGTTTTAAGACAGGTAAGTGTTTTTTGTTTTTTTTTCTAATGGAGCAAATAATGTGATACCTTACATTATAGGCATAATTTCTTTTGGTAAGCATAACTATGGCTGCGATTCCTAGCCTGCTTAATCTAGTCCATAAAGTCCATGGGAAGCTTTTAAAGAGAACAGGCATAGATTTTCACCACCAATCTGTAAACATCTGGAATTACATATGTGTTATATTTGTGTGTAAGAGATACGATATTTAGATGATGCACGGTGTTTGCTTGTTTTTATCCAGCTGGGCTATCAGAATGTGATTTCTAAGTGAATTATCTCTCTTTTGTGCCCTTTTTTCAAAAGATGCTTTTAAAAAAAAGCTCACTTTTCTTTGTCTTGAAATGGAAAACTTTTTTTTTTTACACCTTCTCAAAATACCACAGGTGACATGGCAAAGAGACGTCAGGAGGCCTGGCTATTTGCGTACTTCAGAGAAAGTGCTAACGAGGGCAGGTTGCAAAGCCCTTTGCGCTCATTGCTCTAGAGCAGTGTTTCCCAAACTTGACAATTTTAAGGCATGTGGACTTCAACTCCCAGAATTCCACAGCCAGCAATGTTGGCTGTGGAATTCTGGGAGTTGAAGTCCACATGCCTTAAAATTGTCAAGTTTGGGAAACACTGCTCTAGACCTGGGTCTCAATTAAATTCAGTAGCACCTGCTTGGCCTTCGGGAAGCATGGTGTGAGAGACGGTCCTTTTTTTAGCTGAAAATGATGTTTTTTTGGGAGCATGTTTTTTGTTTTTGTTTTTGCAAAAAAAGCCCGCAAGTAAGAAAAATGAATTCATTCTCCCCGCTTGCAATTTTTTCTTTTCCACTGATTGTTTCATCTGCTTAACTGAGCAGAAGGCTTCCTATTGTGTCTTCAAAAAACAGTGCTTGCCTTTGGTCTCCTCTCGTATTTGTTGCTTATACAGGTATCCCTTGATTTACAACAGTTCATTTAGTGACGTTCAAAGTTACAACGGCACGGACAAAAGTAACTTACGACTGTTTTTCACACTTAACGAACGACAGTTGCAGCATCCCTGGGGATCACGTGATCAAAATTCGGGCACTTGGCAATTGACTCGCATTTATGATGGTCGCAGTGTCCTGGGGTCATGTGACCATCCCCTATTACGCCCTCACAAGCAAAGTCAGTGGGAAAAGCCAGATTCACTTAACAACCGTGCTACTAACTAAGCAACTGCAATTATTCACTTGACAAGAAGAAAGGTCGTAAAATGGGGCAAAACTCACTTAAGAAATGTTTCCCTTAGCAGCAAACAAATCAAGGACTACCTGTAGTAGCCTTTCCTACCTCTGGATACCCAACGAGCAAGAATGCTTGCTTGTAAACACCAATAAAGCGCTGGGTAAATTCAATATTTATGCCTAAGGTTCAGAATGCTGCAGGGTGGTGTTGTTTGTTTCTTTTTTTAAATTCTACCTCCATCTTTTCCACTGGTTAAAGAGCTGCATCCTGGACTGCTAGTTTAAAACAACAACAACAACAACAACCAACCAAATTGCTAAGCTTCCTCCCACAGAATCCTTCCATCCTGTTCACGGATGTACTGGAGAGCTTTCTAATGACTGGCGTGACATGCAACCATCTGTCCTCTTGGCTGACTTTGACGAAGCTAAGCAGGGTTGACCTGCTTAATGTTTGGTTGGGAAATGTCCAGAGATGAAGCCACCCTTATGGTGCAAATGACAATGGAGATTGTCAGTCATCCAGGTTGCAGTTGCCCCATAGGTGCTTTTTCCAAAGGCAACTGGACTTTCTTTGTTTTTTGTTTTTCTTGAAGACTCTTCACTTCTCCTCCCAGAAGCTTCTTCCGTTCAGAAGAATGGAAGAAGCTTCTTAGATGAGAAGCGAAACGTCTTCACGGGGGAAAAAAGTCCCAAAGAAAGTCCTGTTGCCTTTTGGAAAAGCACCTTTGGAATAGGGAGCAGATGCTTTGCATCAAAATGGTGGAACCGTTGAGTACCCCCCGCTGGGTCTGCGTCTGTTTATGTTTTCATACTCGTGCAAGTGTCTTTTGTTCAGAGAACCTGTCCTTGAATACAAAGTAGGGGGGATTCATAGAGATATTGAAAAGTCCTTGATATTAAAAAAAAACTTCTGTGGACCGAGTTGGCTGGTTTTGAAACTTAGTGAAGTTCCCATTGCAAACCGATTACCTAATCAAGTGCTTCTTTTTTCCATTTCCCCCCCTCCCCCCACAGGGATTTATTCAGTGGAACTTGTGAATGACAGCCTATATGAGTGGCATGTGAAACTTCTAAAGTAAGTCTGCTTGCCTTCCCTTCTGCCCTGTTCTGTGACGAGAGCAAGGATTGACACTCAGCAAAAACTCAGATCTGAGACTTACACACACACACACACACACACACACACACACACACACACACACACACAGCTCTTGGAAAGTCTACTCTCTTGCTGCATTTTTACTTTGTCAGCCAAATAGCAACATCTCTTTACTGGAGAATTAATCCCCTCCAGAGGCGCTGAGACTACAGGTACCCCTTGAGTTAACGACGGTAATGGAGCCAGCCCGTCACGGCTGCAAACTGAGTCAGTCGTGGGATTGACCCAGTTTTGCGACCTATTTTGCAGCTGTTGTTAAGTTGAAGTAATGGTTCCCATGGGCTGGTTATGTCTTAAAAAAAGACTTCCCAGGGAAGTCTGTCGTAACTTCAGTTGCTAAGCAACCGGTCGTAACTTGAGGACTACTCCTATAGGTCCCAGAATTCTTTCTTAATTCCAGCACCTCGGAAGAGTTGCTTATCCTTTGCATGGCATCCAGAATTCATTTGAGCCCTTAATTATGGCAAGTCACTCCCTAGGGCAGGGGTGGGGACCCTTGGCTCTTTTATGACTTGTGGACTTCAACTCCCAGAATTCCTGAGCCAGCCGGATGGCTCCCCACCCCTGCGCTAGGGAGATATGGTTGTGCCTTGAAGAGAACATGCGAGATAGGAAGAGGGATTGGTCAGCCGTCCTTTGGCCTTGCAATTCAATTATTCCATCTCTTCTGCTTTTTCTCTCTCTCTCGTCCAGGGTCGATCCTGACAGTCCGTTACACAGCGATCTCCAAGTCTTAAAAGAAAAAGAAGGCGTGGAATATATCTTGCTCAACTTCTCTTTTAAGGTAGGAAGGAAAGAAGAAGCAATTCACCAGTGCAAGACTGTTTCTTTTACTCAACGTATTCTCACCACTCTCACCACTCTGGGGAGTCAACCGTCTTTCCCAAGATGGAGGCTAATGCTTCTCTCTTTATTTGTTTCAGGATAATTTCCCTTTTGACCCTCCGTTTGTAAGAGTGGTCTCTCCAGTGCTCAGTGGAGGGTAGGTCCATTTTTTAAAATTAAATCATTATTCAGGAATTACAAATCTGATATTTCAGCCATTATTCAGGAATTACAAATCTGATGTTTGTCTTGTGTTCTGGACACTTATTGATGCAGCTTTTTCAAGAGAGTAGCAAGAGAAATACAGGTAGACCTATCATCTAAGGTTGGGTGTCAAGAACCCTTTTTTTTCTATCCTCATTCCTGGAACTGGACTGTCAGCAGTCAATCTATTTCCTTTGAGTGTAAAATATTTGCATGTGAGGTGTTAAGGGGATTCCTGCTCTAACTGGGGAGATATGAGCAAGAATCAAAAGGGTTAGAATTTTAATGTTTATCAAGATTTCCTGAGCCTCTTAGAGAGTATAGCAAAATGCACTGTGAAAAATGCCCCAAATGAAAATGAGATGGTTGTCACAAAAAGCAATATCGAAATAATTGCACGGTGCTTATTTATCTTCTATAACTGCTTTTCTGCTAAATTATTCTCGTGGCAGCGTTGATTCCCAAACTGTTTGCAGCTCCAGAACTGATTTTATAGTTTTTGATGGTCTCGGTTTCCAAACTGTCACCTGTGGAATGGACATGGTACAGAGACAAAAAAAAAAAGGGGGGGGGGAGATTTTTCAAATTACTTTAGAGCCTTTGGCTCCTGTCTTCGTAAGTTTAACTAAGGAAGTTTGTGTTTAAATGTGACTTTTAACTACTCATTTTGGAGGTAGCTAATATAGACTGGTATAAAATCTCGCCTCCCACTCCCTCTATAGATTGGGGGGGTTTTACTTATTTTAATATTAATTTTAATGTTTTAGCTTTTAATGTCTGGTGTTTTAATGCTATAATGGTTTTATTCTGTTAGTGTTGTCAGCTGCCTAGAGATGGGCGGCATACAAATTTTAATACCTAAATAAATGAAGAGCTATTGGAGATGTTCTCAGTGTGCTTTTTATATGTCTCAGGTACGTTCTGGGTGGAGGTGCCCTTTGCATGGAACTTCTAACTAAACAGGTAAATGCAGGGCTGGAGGGTGGCTGCCCATGGTGGAATTATCACCTGACCTTTATGTCCTGGTGGGCCTTGACTTATGACCACAACAAGTGGTTGTTAAGGGAATCGTACCCGATTTTATAATCTTTTTTTTGTTTTTGCCACAAATCACTGAAGTTTGGCTTGTTGGGAGCTACCTAGAAAGGTCACAAGTGGACATCACGTGACCCCAGGAAGTTGCAACCGTTGTGAATGCATGCCAGTTGCCGAGGGTGCAAATTGTGACCCCGTGCTCAGAGGGAATGCCATGGCAGTCCTAAATGCAAGAATTGGTTGCAAATCCCTTTTTTCAGTGCTGTTGTAACTGAATGGTTGCCAAACAAAGGTTGTATTGTAAGTCAAGGGCTTTGTGGTTACCCCTGACTCTGGAGGACTTCCCTTCACCTTCTTCCTCTCTCCCCTGGACCCTCCCCTGTGGTTTTTAGGGTTGGAGCAGCGCCTATTCCACAGAATCGGTCATTATGCAGATTAATGCCACGTTAGTCAAAGGAAAAGCCAGAGTACAATTTGGGGCAAATAAGGTAAGCGACATCAGTGTGTGTTCCCAGCTGTTGAAGTCTTCAGTTTGTCTGTTCCACTGCAAACCAGTTGGCTTAAAAAGCAGGGGATCATTTGATCACCTAATGGCCAGGTTTTAAAGCAAATCCATTTAATCGAAATACGATTGGAAGTTCTTCTCCCAGATTGCATACCAGGGTTTCTCAATCTTGGCCCCTTCTAGATGTATGGGCTTCAACTCCCAGAATTTCCCAGCCAGCTGTGCATGGCCAGGAGTGAGTTAGGAAGCCACATAAATTTTCTAAATAAAATGAATAAAAACTCTCCTGGGTAAATGAAACAGTAGTGCACTTTGTACCTGTCGCTAGCTTCTTTTAAAGCCCAGCATTGTTGGGGACCCAGTCAATGTGGTGTGTAAAGCATGGTTTACATCTTAAGGTGTGTTGATTGAACTGGTGCATTTGCAGTTTATCCCAAAAGCCTAGTTAGGTTTTGTCTTAGCACAGCATGAATATTTCTGTATAAATCTCTGTCCACCATCTCAACCTCTTCTTTGTGCAAGCTGATTTTGTCTCCTTAGAAGGGAAACATAAGCATTTAAAGCCATTCTCTCTCTTCCAGACCCAATACAATCTAGCGAGAGCACAGCAGTCTTATAAATCTCTAGTACAGTTGCATGAGAAAAATGGTATGTATGGTATGTATGTAAAACCCATAGTTTTGTAAGTATAACATCAGAAGACCCTGGGGATGCTGCAGTAGTCATAAGAGTGAAAAATGGTCATAAGTCACTTTTTTCAGGACCGTTGTAACTTTGAATGGTCACTAAATGAATTGCTGGAAGTCGGGGACTCCCTATAATTGGACCCTGGGATAATCATTATTTTCTGCTTCGGAATCAGATCCATTGTGTTGATTACTCGGTGGAGCTGGAAATAAAAAGTGTATTTGTTTTGCTCCTAAGTTGTTCCCACGTGCTACACACAACCCTATAAGCCGTATACAAACATGAATTTTTTTTACACAGAGACTTCTATCTGCAGCCTTTTTATGTTTCAGAGACCCAGAAATGTGGTGGACCAGTGTCCTTCAGTGGGTTTTCAAGGCATACATCTCGGCATGCATTCTAGACTTCAGGGATACTATATGAAATTATTGTAAAGCATAAATGTGTCTCGTTTGCCATTGTGCCGGCATATTTGTCAATGTGTAATTATTTGCTTCTTCCAGGTTGGTTCACACCTCCAAAAGAAGATGGATAATACTGAGGGCCACACTACATTTGGACTAATATCAGTAAAAGATTTTATTTCCATGCAAACTCAAGCTATAAAGGCCCCATAACAGCTCATAAATAAATTAGTGGATATCCAGTATAAATCACAGCCATACTGTTCTGCTCATTGGACTAGTATTTTGAACAGAACAATTTAATACTTTCCTATATTTTCCCAATGGATTGAGCTTACCTGTATTTTAGTACTGAATCCCTCACACTGGGTTCTTGGTTTACTAAAATTTCCTATCGACTTTTCTATGCACTTCAGGGTTTTTTATTTTCTCCAGAATGGACTGCAGAGGATTGCAATATATTTTATTTAAAGTCAGCCAAGAGGTATAAAGTTAGTTTGATAATGTGTTGTAGAGTTTTCAGATCTTGTAAAACCAATCTCTCTTTTTCCAGGCTTAAAATTTGAGAATGTTTGTAGAATTTCTAATTTGAACGGTGATATGGGAGAAAGTTTGCAATGTGAAAGAATTAAAATGTTTGGGTTTTTTTTGTTTTTTTGTGGCTGTCTTGAGGTTAGAACTCCTTAGTTTCAGCACAGCCAGGCTGTGCCAATAAAACTTTGCAACGGGTCAATATCTACTAGGTTGCTGAGCTGTTCTGATAATTCTCAAGAATGAACCCTAGGTATAAAGCTTGAAAATTTATTTAAAATTCCAGAAAGCCTCTTTATAAGTTCAGTTCCATTAACGGGTTGTTGCAATCATTTGTAGATAATGAACTTAAAAAGCAATGAGCAAAAGTCAAGACACTCCTTATTTTTTTAAGAAGACCAATTTTTTAAAAAAACAAAAGCCACGGAATTCCCAGGAAAATCTTGATTCAGATTGGTGGTCTCTTTTAAATGTCACCATCGTCATGACCATGGATTTTGTTCAGAAAATAATTCTTTTCCTTTTTTGGAAGACCAATTTGGATTGGAAACTGCTGTGAGCCAGTAACAGCTTTATTATTGCCTTACCTTTAAAAAAAAGCAGGTATTTTAATTTTTTAGAGTTGAATTTGGGGTCACTTTCTTTATTCATTGGAATTGCATTAAAGGAATTAGCATTTTTCTTTCCAAGACCAAAAATGCCTCAGTTCTCCTATGTCCCACCATTTTCACCTTCAAAGTTACATCTGTACTTTCTTTGATACCCAAAAGATGATCGCAGATGCTGGACTTCAGTTTGAAAGACAAGATTTAAAGACTTCTGCCTGGTGGAACTTTATTTCCTATGATGATTTCCAGGATTTTGGCTTACTCGGTTGTACATATTGTTGCTATTGAATTGTCTTAGCCGCCTTAAAACAGAGGACAAATTCTATGAGTTTCCTATAGCTCATTTGAAAACCTGAGGCTAATATTTTGGATACCTTATCAAATTGTTTAATATTTCTAATGGACTAGCACAATGACAGGTGCATACACTCGACTTCTCTATTTTTATTTTATTGGGAGTTTCATTTAAAAAAAAATTCGGAAACTTAGCAGTGTACAATAATCTGTAAACTTGCATCAAGTTTATGAATAAATGAATCATTTTAAGCATTCTGTTACTGCAATGTTTCTGGAAGAGCCATTTTTGGGGGGGAATTGAATGTGATTTTAAGTTTGTGTAAATATCAAGTGTTAAAAAGTTGGACTGATTTTGAATTTTTAGAAATGGTAAAAGACAAAAAAGTTCCTGGTACACAACAGTAATTGGAAACTCAACAATTTCCAGGGACTCCTTGACTTGCAAACAGAATTTCTGTTGGTAAGCAAGGTGCTTAAGTCACATCCAATTTTGCAACGTTTTGTTGTTAAGCAAAATCTATTTCACTTATTTGCTAAGTGAAACATTTGCTCCATTTTCCGACCTTTCTTGCCACAGTTAAGTGAATCACTGCACTTGTTAGTAACACGGTTTTAAGTGAATCTCGCTTCCTCAATTGATTTTGCTGGTCAGGTCACAAAAAGGGGATCACATGACCCCAGGACATTGCAACCGTCATAAATGGGGATGCTGCAATGGTCATAACTGTGAAAAATGGTCATGTCAGTTTTTCAGAGCCGTTGTAACTTGGAATGGTCACTAAATGAAAGTCGACTATCTGCACTATTCTATAGTCTCCCGACCACAAGCTGAGATCATAGAGATAGGAAAAAATAGTATAAAGGTCGACAGACTTCCGGTCTTCCGAGTCCCATTTTGCGCTTCGTAGTGCACGGGCTAAGGAATGCTTGCCATAGAGATGCCGAAGGATAGAGCGGCTATCCTTGATCACTACAGACCGAGGGCGGTTTCCGGGCTCCTCCCCGCGCGTCGATCTCCACGGCAACGGAAAGCGTCGCGTCGTCGATGGCGTCAGCAACGCGCCGGAGCTTCCGGGACGCTCCGCTGGTGCTTTTCCGGGGCGCTCGCGCGGCCTGCCGTTGTCATGGCGGCCGATCCCAAAGGCGGCTACGTGCTGAGCAGCCTCGCCGAGGTGGTGGAGCGGATCCTCGGCTTCCTGCCCACCAAAGCGCTCCTGCGGGCGGCCTGGTGAGCAGCCCGAGGGCCGCCGGGGGGCGCGCCCGGGCCGCGAACGGACCCGGAGGAGCGACGGGAGAGGAGCCGGCCCTTGAATGGAGGGGGAGGGGGCTGGTGGTCGTAGCCACGGAGGGAAGGGGGGAGCGGGCAGGGGAAGGTGAGAAAATGGCGGTCGCAGCGGAGGCAGGCAGAAGTCCGAAGGGAGCAGCTGACTTCCCTGGGAGGGGGGCTTCAGAGGAGGAGGAGGGCCCCGTCGGCTGCAGTTGCCCCCCCCCCCAAATACAGTGATTGCTCAAGTTTGGCCTGGCTGTGCTCGCTTTGCAACTTGGAGGCTGGACACACACACAAACATTAAGGTGACCAACCGTCCTCCTTTAGGGAGGACAGTCCTCCTTTTGTAAGTTCTGTCCTCCCTCGAAAAGTGTCCTCCTTTGGAGATGTGGCTGTTTGGATGCTACCTATTATCATATTTGGTGGTCGTGTAAAAATATAAAAGCTTTCTGGATTAAGATATGGTGGAATATTCAAAGAATCTTTAGAAGGAGGGTAAAATTTACCCCGCAATTATTTTTTATTAGGTATTGTTATTGATTGTGATGCTAAGGAAGTTGTATTGATGTTAAATTTGATTACAGCCGCAAGGCTGTTAGTAGGACAATATTGGAAGAAGGAATCTTTGCCTACCTTACAAGAGTGGTTTTATAAAGTTTCTTATTTGGCGGAAATGGCAAAGATTTCGGCTTTTTTAAAGGAGCAATCGCAAGAGAAATTTTTTGTTGTATGGGAAAAATGGATAAATTTTATACAATATAATCTGGATATGGAAAAATACCATTTAGCTTTTTTATAACTTTTATTAAAAAAAATTTTTTTTGATATTTTATATTTTTTTCTTTTTCCGTCTTTTATTTTCTTTCCTCTCTTTTTCTTTTATCTTTAATCTTTCTTTCTCTTTCTTCTTCTTTCTCTCTCTCTTTCCTCTCTTTTCTCTCTCTTTTTTAAAGTATTTTTTTAATGCTTATATCATAAATATTTTATTATTAATTATTTTATAAGTTGTGAAAAATTGTTTAGGTTTTTAAAAAAAATTTTTTTAAATGGGCCTATATTCAGTTCTGGGAAGCTCGGGGAAGGGGGAGGGAGGGGTGGGTTTGGGAGGGATTGGGCGAGGGTTGTTTTGTTTTGTTTTTGTTGTTTATTTGTAAAACTTTTAAAAATTTTCAATAAAAAGAAAAGAAAAGTGTCCTCCTACATGTCCTCCTTTTTGATATTTGGGCTTTTTTCCCCCTCATAGAACGCTCAGAACGGCATTCCGGCACCTTTTTTTGATTATTTTTTTTTCAACTTTTGCATGAGCTGTGCTACTCCCGCTATTGGCTTTTGAAAGCCAATAGGAATTGCTGCTGAGCACGCCAAACACTTGGCTGGCAAACTCTGCACATGCAAGTTGTCTGTATTACTGTTGCAATGAATACAATGTTTTTTTTTTAATTTACATTTTTTCTTCAATTTATTTGTGTCCTCCTTTTCATTGTAAAAAAGTTGGTCACCTTAACAAACATCCATCATCTATCTATCTACCTACCTATCATCTGTCTGTCTGTCTGTCTATCTACCTATCATCAAATTTATATCTATCCATCCACCTACCCAGTGTGGCAAACCTATCCAATACTCCTGCCTCCTCTTTTCCACACAGCAATAATTCACTGGGGTAGGTTGGACAAAGGAAGAGAGACTGGTCCAAAGACACCCATTGTAGAAAGTGAGGAAAAACCACTTTGTCGGACTTGGCAGATCTGTTATGATAGCCATTCTGAAAAGCAAGTAGTTTTACGTTTCCTGTAGAGTTGATTTCCTGGTCTGATCTGGAGGCTGACACTTGAACTGAGATGGCCAAAGTCTCCTAGCCAGCTTTCCTGCCTAAAGAAAGACTAGGACTTACACTCCGCTGTACTGGCTCTCGGGAAGACTTTTCTGACTGTAAGAGCCACCAAAAAGTGGCACAGGAACATTCCAGCCACGTGAAGTTTAAAATAGTTGGGAATGGTGTATAGATTCTCAGCCAAAAAACTTGGATTAGCTGGAGAGGGCTAAGACAGAGTTAAAACAGAGGCCCCCATTTCCACTCCATTTCTCAGGAGTTGTCCTAAGGATGTGATCATGTGTGGCCTTGAAGGCTCTCCACTGTGGCCTGTGAGTAATAAGATTGTAAAGTGTTAATACCACTTTACCAGGCCTTGGTAAGGCCACACTTGGAATACTGCATCCAGTTTTGGTCACCACGATGTAGAAAAGATGTTGAGATTCTAGAAAGAGTACAGAGAAGAGCAACAAAGATGATTAGGGGACTGGAGGCTAAAACATCTAAGGAATGGTTGCTGGAATTGGGTATGTCTAGTTTAATGAAGAGAAGGACGAGGGGGGACAGGATAGCAGTGTTCCAATATCTCGGGGGCTGCCCCAAAGAAGAGGGAGTCAAGCTATTCTCCAAAGCGCCTGAAGGCAGGACAAGAAGCAACAGATGGAAACTAATCAAGGAGAGAAGCAACCTGGAACTAAGGAAAAACTTCCTGACAGTGAGAACAATTAACCAATGGAATAACCTGCCTCAGGAAGTGGTGAATGCTCCAACACTGGAAGTTTTTAAGAGACTGGACAGCCATTCGTCCGAAATGTTATAGGGTTTCCTGCCTGAGCAGGGGGTTGGACTAGATGACCTCCAAGGTCCCTTCCAACTTTATTATTATTAATATTAATATTATTATCTCTGTTACAGTGTGTGCCAGCTGTGGCGGGAGTGTTCCCGCAGAATCCTGCGAACGCAGCAGAGCATCACCTGGGTCTCTGCCCTGGAACCAGGCCCATCCAATACCCATGTCCTGGTCCACGTGTTAGCTGAAGACATTGAGGTAAGCAGTTTGGAGAAATTGACAGAAGCAGGTCCTTTGGTGGTGGTTGTTGTTGAGGTTCATTCTCTAAATCAGCATTTCTCAGCCTTCACAACATTAAGCCGTTTGGACTTCAATTCCCAGAATTCCTCAGCCAACAGGTATAAGTATCCATGTTTACTTAGACATTTTATAGAAATTAGGCGGGAGGTCTTACTTTCCTGGTATTCTTAAGATTGCAGCTCTGAATGAAACATCATCTGTTTGCCAGGCTAGCTTTCCTATTTGTTAAATGATCACATTATTGAGTATGTTTTTCTAAACAAAATAATGATTGTTAAGAAACAATCTTGGACTGTAATTTCATCTTTTTTCAGTGGCTTAAGCTAAGGAGCAGCTAAGCTTATTCAAGTTTTATTGGGTTCTAGGAGAAGAAATATCTGTAGCTCAGACTGAACTGTGGAGTCCTTGGTGCTCTTTGAGCTTGGTTATTTTCTTCTAGAGCAGGGGTCTGCAACCTTGACAACTTTAAGACTTGTGGACTTCAGCTATGCTGGCTGAGGAATTCTGGGAGCTGAAGTCCACAAGTCTTAAAGTTGTCAAGGTTGCAGACCCCTGCTCTAGACATTTCATTACCCAGTAAGTAACATCTGATGATCACCATCAGAGCACCAGCAACACCAGCAGAGCGCTGATGATGTTACCTAGTTGGATAATGAAATGTCTGCAAGAAAACAACCAAGCTTAGAAAGCACCAAGGGCCCCAAGTTGTATTTGGAGTTGTGCTTGTTTTTCCTGCGCAGGAAAAGTTCCTGATGTGCATCCATCATGTTGTGCTTTGCTTTTGCATTACAGAAAGTTCAAGTCCTCCCTCAGACAGTGTTGTATATAATAGCAGACGCAGAGACGGTCAGTGAAAACAGAGAGTTTTGCGTCTATGGTCTGAAGAAAGGTAGGTGGCCAGCGAGACTGTTCTTCCCTCATCAATGAGCTGTCCTTTTAGTCGTTGATTTATACACGTGGAACAAGGGAACAGTCCTCTGATTGGACGGTTTGGGTTCTGTAGATAAAATGGTAGCCTTGAAAGGAGCTCTCTGCTCTGTCGTGACTTGGTTAACCAACCTTAGTGTAATGTACGGCAGTAATAAAGAGTGTTGATGTGGGTCTATAGTTAGTTGATCTAAGTCACTGAACTCTTTAATATGTTAGAATTTCTTTTTATTGGCCAGCTGCAGGAGCACGAAATTATACTGCTGGAAGAATCCTATGGAGCAGTATTTTTTCAAACTTGGCAACCTTAAGGTATGGACTTCAACTCCCAGAATTCTGGGACTTCAATTCTGGGGAATTCTGGGAGTTAAGTCCACACCTCTCAAAGTTGTCAAATTTGGAAATCATTGAGGCAGGGGTTACCTTGATCTGCTCCATGGATGACCTTGGGAGCGGACAGCTAGGAGAGGTTGCTGCTGCTACTTTACAAACTTTTTATAAGGTAGCCTTAAGAACTTTGAAAATAACCAGGTCTTTTTTGTCCGTGCATTTGGAAAAGTACAGTTAAATTCCCGGAGGATAGATTAGATAGATTAGACCAGTGATGGCGAACCTTTTAGAGACCGTGTGCCAAAAACCCGCTGTGCCCCCTGGCCCGCCCCCCTGGCCCACCCCAACCCCAGCTCTGTCCCCCCTCTGCCCTGCCCTGCCTGCCCGCAAGTCCACCCACCACCTCCATGGCCCGCTGCAGATCACCCAGGGGCCTAGCAGTGCCATGGCGGCCACACCCTCGGCCCATGCCCCGCAGCATCAACTGTGAGTGATGGGACGTGAGGGCGGAGTCTTGTCCCTGCTGTCCGGCTGCCATGTGCTTGGCTGTGCTGGTCCACGTGGGCCACATCTGGAAGCGACTCTCCTCTGGGATGGCTGCTGGTGAGGAGGGGGCGATGGGGAGGTAGGGCTGGGGTGACGGCACGCGTGCCCACAGAGAGCGCTCCGAGTGCCGCCTTTGGCACGTGTGCCATAGGTTCGCCACCACTGGGTTAGATTATGCAAACCACCCTTCCTTGCAACAAACACAGATTGATAGCGGGGAATGTTTGCAGCTCAGGATTGAAACAAGGGGTCCTTGTTGCTCTCTGAGCTTGGTGGTTGTTTCATTACCCAGGCTAGGTAACACCATCAGTACAAATACAAATCTCATTTTCATTTCTTGTCACTTTGTTCCTGTTAGAAGCCTGCCCCAGTGACCCATGAATTATCCAAAAACTGATTCCTGAAAATTGTGAAGACTTAACAGTGATGGATGTGGGACTTTCAAGCAGCTCTCCTTATTTCTAGGAATCTCCATGTTTACTGCAGCACTAAAATACTTGGAAAAACTGGGTGCTGCCCCCAAAGTTATTATTGATCCTGCAGGAACTTGGACTAATCATTTTTCGTTGTGATTATAGCACGGCGAAGATACAGTAAAGAAATTGCCGCTGCCCTGGAAAACCTGCTGCCCACGCGATGCCAGGTGCTTGGACTTGTGACACCTGGGGTTGTAGGTAAGGAGAACCACCTCAACAAAATAAGCTCCCTGAGTTTTCCCCTCGGTATGGCTATACGTCCAAACCGGTCTTTCCACCTTCCTCAAGGAAGCAGCATTCTGTGAAGTTAATTGCAAATAACCTTCGAATTTGGACTTCTGATTAGAATGGAAACCGTTCCCAGGGGCTCACAAGTCCCGGGGCTTAGCGGATCCCCGGTTCTCTCTCAGGTTTGGCTCAAATGAACTGAAAGGACTGTAATTTTGAATGGCTTCACATTCACAGTTGCTTTGGAAGTGATGTGGTGCCAAGCAGATCAGGTTACCAAGCAATAATCAAGTGGATAAGTACTTCTGCTTCAGAAGTTTTTTTTTTTTAATTAAAAATTTTTTTATTTTCCATTTATCCAACATAGTTATACAACAAAATTCACTTTACAAAATAAAATAAATTCATAACCATAACCATAACCATAGGTGCCGCTTGCTCCTTCCCTCCAAGCTGTATCCACCCTCCCTAATACCTTCCTTACTTCCCTCCTCTTTCTCTCCTCCCCTCACTATCTTCCCCTCCCCTTCTCCTCTTACCATCCTACTTCCTCTCTTAAGAAGAAGTTGTAATCTTATTATATCTGGGTGGCTGTTCAAATCTTCATGTTTTTCCTCTGAATTCAGAGTGACAAAAATTGTCAGGTATGCCAGTTGGGGATTCTGGCAGATACTGTGTAAACCAGGGGTCTTCAAACTTGGCCCTTTTATGACTTGTGGACTTCAACTCTCAGAATTCCTCAGCCAGGCACGCGTGCCTGGCTGAGGAATTCTGGGAGTTGAAGTCCACAAGTCATAAAAGGGCCAAGTTTGAAGACCCCTGCTGTAACCCATGTTTAAAAGGCCAGGCCAGGCTCTCCTCATCTACTGGTGGAGAGAGATGGGATAACCAAACCCTGTTAAAAAGGTCAGTGTTTCAAAATACAAAAGGCAAAGTCTGCTTTTGTCCCCTAATAGCTTCTTACAGCCTGAGAGGAGAAGGTATGTTACATTTGCAACCTAAGTGTATTCTACAAACACTTGGAGAACCAGTTGGAACTTAAAAAAATCCTACGGAACTCTTTCAGAGATCTGATTGAGAACCTAAGAGGTTTTGCCTTTTCCCACTTCCGTGTTCTCTCATTTTGTCTGGATGGCCCTTGAGATTATTATTTTTTTTTTGCATCCCGGTTACCTGAAACCCAGCGTAACTGGAGGGCGACCCACGCCACCTGTGCTGTGCAGGTGAGCTCTGCTAAGCTTTGCAAGGACATTACAAGTCCCACCAGAGTTGGTTTGCTGAAGCTCTGGTGCCTGCCATCTGCGGGTAGTCCTCAACTTACAACAGTTCATTCAGTGACCGGTCAAAGTTACAGCGGCACTGGAAAAAAAGCGACTTGTGTCTGTTTTTCACATTTAGGACCACTGCGGTATCCCGCGATCAAAATTTAGATGTTTGGCAACTGACTCATATTTACAATGCATGTCAATGTCTCAAGGTTACGTGATCCCCTTTTGTGACCTTACAAGCAAAGTCAATGAGGGAGTCGGATTCATTTAATAACTGTGGCAAGGAAGGTCGTGAAATGGAGCAAATCTCACCTAAGAACTATCTCGCTTAGCAGCCAAAGCTTTGAGCTCAATTGTGGTCATAAGGGGAGGACTATCTGCAAACCTACCAAAGAATAATAGGAAGGATGCTTCGGCCTTGAGTTGCCCAGGTTTTGCTTTATGCCAGTGATGGCGAACCTTTTAGAGAGCGAGTGTCCAAAAACTGTCCCCGTCCCCTGCCCTGCCTGCCCACAGGGCCACTCACCACCTCCAGAGCCCACAGCAGATCGCCCAGACAGCCCAGTAGTGCCATGGCGGCCATGCCCTTTGCCCGCACCCCGCAGCATCAACTGTGCACAATGGGGCATAAGGGCAGAGTCTTGTCTACACTGCCTGGCTGCCATGTGCTTGGCTGCGCTGCTCCGCGTGGGCCACACTCGGAGGTGACTCTCCTCCAGGGGGGCTGCTGGTGAGGAGGGGGTTGTGGGGGAGGCAAGGCTGGGGCAATGGCTCATGTGCCCACAGAGAGGGCTCCGAGTGCCGCCTCTGGCACCCGTGCCATAGGTTCGCCACCACGGCCTTACGCTCCTTGCAGAAAACGGGAGCCTGTTTAAAAATGATGTTAGCCGTCTTGAAACATGAGATTAACCCCTAACTGCTCTGAACGTCGCTTTTCAGTTACTCCCCAAGGCTCTGGCAGCCACCGTCCCATAGAGGTCGAAGAAGGAGAGGCTGGCTTCGCCCTGCTCTTCCCCAAAATCGATGGGGTGAAGATTCAGACCTTCCATTTTTTTAAAGACCCGAAGAGGCAAACCATCAATGAAGAAGAGTTTGCTGAAGCAGGCAAGCCAAAGCTGGAACTGTTAGAACTCTTGCTATTTTTTATTATTATTACTATTATTATTATTATTTTTAAAAGCTGTCACAGTGTGGGATTTTAATTCCCAGTAGAGTTCACGAGATTGTAAAAGCTGCTACAGCTGACCCTCCTAAGAGGAACATGGGCTTAACGGGTGCGAGGTGGGAATTGCTTTGAAAACCTTTTTCATGCTGTGTTGGAATGTTGCCATTTGTGATGTGATGTTTGGCTGAAAAGAACAGGAGAAACGTAGTGATTCTTTGAAGCGAATCGTCTTTTCCAAGTCACCCTCCCATTTTTTCCGTACTAATTTGATCTAGGGGGGAAGGCACCAAGCTAAAAACTGCAAACTCCTCCTTCTCATCCTGCCTTAGGATGCAAGGCAATGGGTGGCTTTCGGCCAATCACCAGGAGGCCGTGAGTTCTAATCCCGCTTTAGGCATGAAAAGCAGCTGGGTGACTTTAGGCCAATCACTGGGAGGGAGGGAGTTCTAGTCCTGCCTTAGGCATAAAAGCCGACTGGGTGACTTTGGACCGGTCAGGCTCTTTGAGCCCAACTCCTTTCACTGGGTTATTGTGGGGAAGGAGGAGGAGGAGGAAGGTGTATTAGATATGTTTGTTGCCTTGAGTTCTTTATAAAAATAAATAATAAAGGCAGGATATAAATCATATTTTTCCACCTTAACCATCAGACCCAACTAAGCCAGAGACCAAAGATTCCTCTTCCGGAACAATAAACTTCAGCCAACTGGTTTGTTGTCCAACTTTGTGCATCTCCCTGCTAAAGCATAACTAGTCCCCGTAGTATTAAACAGGCTTTTTATAATGGGGAGGGAATATAGAGTCCTTTTTTTTTTTCCTAACCATATAAGCAAGCAAGTCAGTGTGTTATTTGCCGCTTTCCTTGCTGGGCTGCCTGTATTCTGACATGCCAAAACTGCCGGTTAAGTTTGTCCAATGTGAAACATACGATTAGAGCCTTACCAAAACCAAAATAAAAAAACCCTCCAGGATTGTGTACCAAACAGGTCAGAAATTTGCCAGAGGGCTGTTATGTTATTCTCTTGTGGGAATCTCTTCTTTTGATACGTGCCCGGCTGCTCTATCCCTTTAGGGGAAGTAGGTCAGAAAAGTAAATAGATGCAGCCCGTAAACTAAACGGTGCGTGACGTTTGGCATCTTACCATTATTATCAGCAGAATAATATTTCTGCTGATAATAATGAAATATGAATATTTCTTTCCTCTCTCTTTTTTACTCCCATCAGGCCTTAAGAACAACCCCGATCTCAGAGCCGTGCTTCTCTTTGGATACAACACCTGGAAGTCGGGATCGACACGGTTTCTCCGCCAAATTGTCAATCGCTTGAACGAAAAAAGCATCATCTTAGCGGGCGGATACGTAGAGAGCATCACATCCCTGACTTCAGAGAAGTGGGTATCGGCCGGGGGGTCCTCCGGGGCTTCTGTTGTTACAGGTAGTCCTCCTCTTACAGATCCCAGATGAGCCCAAAGTTTCTGTCGCAAAGCAAAACGGTCGTTAAGGGAGTTTTGCCCCATTTTGCGACCTTTCTTGTCACAGTTGTTAAGTGAATCGCTGCAATTGTTAAGTTAGTAACCTGGTTAAGTGAATCTGCTTGTCAGAAGGTTGCAAAAGGGGATCACGTGACCCCGGGACACTGCGACCGTCATAAATAGGAACCCATTGCCAAGCATCTGAACTTTGATGATGCTGCAAGAGTCGTAAATGTGGAAATTGGTCATAAGTCACTTATGTACCTTCAAACAGTCACTAAATGAACAGATGTAAGTCGAGGACACTCTATATGCTTCAGTGAGGTTGGCTTTTATCTGTTTCTAAAAGTCTCAGCTTCTCTGTTGTTAGAGGCTGATAAAGTTGTTTTAAGTTAAGAAAAGCTATGTTGGACCAGGCCTTCCCACTCACCACAATCATGTGACCGCAATTTGCAAAGTTTTTTGCCGGTTTCCAGCTCCTTTTTGTCTGGTTTTTGGCCAACCCCCCCCCCCACACACCCATAAGAATACACTGATGTGCTTAATGGCCAACGGCATACGCTGGACAGTGATCACCACATTCGCTTAACAACTGCCGCAAAAAAAAGTTATAAAACGGAGTCCAGTCACACGAGTGCCTTAATAACTGTTATGATTTTAACAAGGGAAAATCCAGGCTCCGTTACGGATGTAAATCGAGGACTACTTGTATATCTTCATGTTTTTATTTCCTTTTCAAGGAACAATCGGCATAGGATGCCTGAAAAGTCCTTCCTGATTGGGAGTCGGTCACTTTCATTCGCGTCTAGCCTTAAGGGAAGAAGAGGGATTTCTGTAACTGCTCCTACAGCCTGTCACTTTTAAAACGCTTCGTGTTCTGCCAAGCTACCTCGTTGACTTGTCTAAAATTAGAAGTGCTAATGATGTGTGTGTTACATCCCTTACATCCCTTTCGTCATCTTTGTTTCCTCACTTCTCTCCTTCTCTCCCTATTTGAGTTATTTCCTTTATGGAAGTTAGAAGACACACACTCGCTCCTGAGCTCCCTAGCCGTTTAGGTTTTAACCAGCTTCTGGTTAAGAGGCTAATTGATTTTTTTTTAAAAAAAAAAAAAAAGCAAGAAGCTTGAGATTTTCAGAATTTGGACCTTTCGATGCCTTCGGAGAATTTTGTCAGGGAAAGTGGACAGGTTGATTTCGTTGCTTTTCCTCAGTTTTGTGTTGGGAGGAATCGGAGGCCTGCAGTTTGGGAGGCCTAAAAGGCACAGTTGGGAGCTAACCGTAGTGTATCGTTCAGGTAGTCCTCGACTCACAATCACAACTGGGACCATCACTAACGGAGGCGGTTGTTCAGTGAGTCGCACCCAGTTTTACAAGATTGTTTGCTGTGGACATTAAGTGGAACATAGTCGTTAAGCAAACATGGCTAACTCTGCTCATTGTAAGCTGGTTAGGAAGCTCACAACGGGCAAATCCCCGGACCCAGCAACCCTCCAAAATACACGGCAGTTGCCAAGCGCCAAATGTCGATCACACAACCGTGGGGATGCTGCGGCAATTATTAAGTGTGAAAGCTGGTCATAAGTCACTTCTTTCAGACCCGTTAAATAGTTGAGGACTACCTGTATTGCTTGGCATCGCTTGTGGGCCATGTTGCGTTGTGAACCACCTGCTTCTGACTCTGTTTCCCCCCACACACACCTCTCTTTCAGTCACAACCAGCCTGCCGAGATGTGTGGTGTGGTGGGCCTGGCTTTCAGTGGTCCCCAGATCCGGTGCGCCTCCGTCCTGCTGGATCAAGACGTCACGGACGAAAAGTCGGCCGAAGCAGCCATGCAGCGCCTCAAGGCGGCCCACCTTCCCGAGCACCACAGCCTGGCCTTCATGTTTGCCTGTGTGGGCCGGGGGTGCCGGTTTTATAAAAGCAAGCCCAACCTGGAAGCAGACGCTTTCCGAAAGTACTTCCCGAACGTGCCCCTGTTTGGCTTTTTCGGACACGGGGAGATCGGGTGCGACCGGATCGTGACGGGGAATTTTGTCCTCCGGGAATGCAACGAGGCCAAGGATGACCTCCTGCACGGTTACACCACGGTCGTGACGCTTCTGCATCTCGGTTCAGCTAAAGCCAGTCAAGCTTAAAATCTCTCTCTCTCTCCCTCTCTCTCTCTCTCTCCCTCCCTCCCTCCCTCCGTCTCTCTCCCTCTCCCTTCCTCCCTCCCTCCCTCTCTTTTTTTTTTTTTTTTTTTTTTTTGCAATTATCCAATTGCAGCTGTCACCAGGCTGCATTAATTGTGCGAAACATGCCGTTCTGGGGACACTTCAAAGTGCCTCCTAAAAACAAAAAAGAAAGCCGTCGTGTGGACTGTAAGTCTCGCCAATTACGTGATCTTAAATTAGGGGAAGAAAAGAAGATTTTTATCCTCCATTTCTGAAACCAAAAGTCTTTCCTTAATTTACAGTAGATTTTTATTTCATTCCAGTTGTTGCAGATAAAGGTGGTTAGTATCACCGGTGGTTTCCTTCTTTTAGTGGATTACTGAACAAATCAGCCTCTGGACTAAGCCTGTCTTAAGCTGTGACTATCTTTTATTGTTTGTCTCTGGAAATACAAACCTTCAGGTCTGAACTGAGCTCTTTAAATCATCTGTTAAGGTAAGGTGGCAAAGTACCCATAGAAGCCCAGTCAAATTTGAAGCCATGTTTGCATTGAATATTCATCGTTTTGGTCCAGAGAGCATTGGGTGGTCTGGATTCTTGGGCTTATCTTGATAAAACTTTGCAAGTTGGGCAATCTTGTTCACTGGTTAGTTTGCGTTATAAATTGTACTAGTTGCCTGCTTAATAGCTTTGATTGTAGAAAAAGATTCCTTGGGGATTTCTCAGGTCTTAAATATATGAAGGAACCCCAAGATTTGTCTGATATGGTTTGGATTCTACTGTTGAGGGGTTCTAAATATGAATTTTCGGGACCTGGGGCTGTCTAAATGGCAACAATCATTTAAAGCATAGACTAATATGGTTTTCTTCCTGAGCAGACATGTGCAAACTGCCCCCCCCCCAACCCACTGCTTTTATCAATGTAGGAAAGTTGAATGGCAGCAGAATTATATGATTGCAAGATGTTAACTTGATATTCAGCTTTCTCTCTGACATTAAAGCTACTGGAGATATTTATGATTTGACTTAATGCCCTAGGGCTGTACTGGGGAAGTCGGACAAATGTAAATAAGGTAACAGAAAATTAAAGACACGATTTTTCTCTCAACTGCAAGTTATATTCTTTCTGTCTTCCTCCAAAAACAGAGCACCAAGAAGTTTTGTTTTTCCTCACCAAAATGTGCTTGTTTTTTCCATGAAAAATTGAAAACCGCGATGCAAGAAAATGCCATTTTTTTCTCTGTGGATACATGCGTCCGTATGATGTATTTTGGGAGTCATTGCAGACTTGTCTGCTTTTAATCCTGGAAGAAACACAGTTTGCAGGACTAGCTTTAGATGACCTACTTAATCATGTAGCTGCTCGTGCTGTTTTTGAATAAATGAAGGATGGTAAATCTGTCTGTTAAAGTTGGCATTGAGGTGTGCTGGGCACACCAGAGTAATTTGATTGCTTAAAAAAATCTCTTGAATTGAGACTGATTCTGGAGAATTTTGTAGATGGTCAGTCAGTTTTCTGGGTAAATTTACTGGGTAATGTAAAAACAAGTTCAGTTTTGGAATTGTAATGCAGAGGTAAGATTGTGTTAGAAATAAATCCATTTACAGCCAATAGTAGCTTTGCTGTTAATTGCGAAGTCGTGTCCGACCCATCGCGACCCCATGGACAACGTTCCTCCAGGTCAGTGGTTCTCAACCTGTGGGTTGGGACCCCATTTGGGGTCGAATGACCATTTCATGGGGGTCGCCAAACAACGCAGTCCCCCATTTTTTTCCCCTTTAGCTGTGCTACTCCCTTTTATTCTATTGGCTTTTGAAAGCCAATAGAATAGACTCTCTTGAATAGAGTCTAATTCTATTGGCTTTCAAAAGCCAATAGGAATTGTCCAGGCTGTCTCTGCCCTGCTGAGCCCGCCAAAAGTCCCATTCTGCAAACGGTGCTGCACCAGTTGAGTAGTCCTCGATTTACGACCGGTTGGGGGCTGCGGCATTAAAAAGGTTGAGAACCACTGCTCCAGGTCTTTCTGTCTTCTACCATCTTCTGGAGTCCATTTAAGTTCACACCTACTGCTTCAGTGACTCCATCCAGCCACCTTCTTCTCTGTCATCCCCTTCTTCTCTTGCCCTCGATCTTTCCCAGCATTAGGCCCTTCTCCAGTGAGTCCTTCCTTCTCATTAGGTGGCCAAAGTATTTGAGTTTCAACTTCAGGATCTGGCCTTCTAAAGAGCAGTCGGGGTTGATCTCTTCTAGGACTGACCGGTTTGAATCATTCTGCAGGTCTGTGGTTGCCATCTTCTCAAATGAGAGGGTGTGCAAAAAAAATAAAGAAGCCTATGGAGTAATTGATAGCTTCATGAGTAAGAAGAACAGAAGAGTTGTGGAACTTTACAAAACTACATATACTTTTGTGTTAATTTTTTAGATTTTTTTCTCCCTCAGCTTTCTTTCAACTCATTTCTGAAACAACCATCTTGTGAGTAGACTGGACTCAGAGAAAGTTACCCCCCAGGACCAAGGTGGGCCAGAACCTGAGTCTCCCTAATCCTCGTCCTTAACTATTACTCTACTCTGGCTTGGTCAGATATTATTTCTTAATCAGTTATCTTTTACAACCAACTGATAACACGTGAATGGATTTTAAACACCGATTATTTTGAGACACCCCAGACACCAGTCTTTGGAGAGAAAAGGATAAACTTTATTTACAAATGGAAATGTTTCAAACAAAAAGAAAAAAAAAAAGGAATACAGTGACTATATCGTGACCCTAAAAAGGCTCACTAGATATCACCGTTGTAAGTTGTGGAAACCTTTACAGAGAATGGCTCTCATTTTGTTCACTAAGCTTGCTCCTGACATGCAAAGTCCATTGCAGGATACCAAAGCGTAAAGTTGATTTTATCTTCAGTAAAAACGGATGGAAGGGATCCGACAGCTTTCCAATACTTCCTACTAATGTTCGGAAATACTTTAAAAGCATTTTGTCTATTTTAATTACTGAGGATGGAGTTGATTCTGATTCTGCTCTTAGCATCTCCAGATATCTCTGACCTCCTGTGTCTGGGAACAGTAAGAACATAAGCTGTGCATATTTCTGCATATATATTTGGTCCTGTAAATCACGTTCTTCTTTCAGAGTATCTGGGAACGCCGATACCGATGCCTGAAAATCACAGAAGACAGTGGCTTTATTAGATTTTTTTTTTAAAAAAAAAAATGTCAAATTACACATTATCTTTCCCATCATTTCTGTCAAGACAGCTTGCAAAAGTATTAAACTAGCACACCGATGTGTACCCGCAGGAATTAATTAAGCACATCAGAAATGAGGAACTGAACATTCTCCAGAATACAACGAGCAATTTTAACTCATTTTCATTCATCTGCTTATCCTCTGAATCCGTTTTGAAGATCTCATTTAATTATTATGTGTCGCTTTGTTCAGGGAGGAATAAAAAAAACTTTCTGGCATTTACTTAGCAGTATTTATTTCGGGATCCGTCTGGAATTCTTTAACACTTATTCTTGATCAGGTAACATTTTTGTTTGTTCCCTGAAACAATATTGGGCAGCATTTTGCGGTGGATCACAATGGACCGTGAACCAACCATGTGAGACAGCTACAGAAAAGGAAGGATGGTGCTTGCATCATTAACAGAAGTATAGAGTCAACATCAAGAGAAATTGCATAGGCTGCACTCTCCCTAGAACACAGCATCACTTTGAGGCTCTGGAGACCGAAACATTTTTTAGACAGTATGTAAAAATGATAGGCACCTGGAAGGAAAAAAACTATCAGTTCCCATTTCCCTGATAATTTGTTCACAGATAACAATTCTTGTCCCTGCCCATTCTCCTTTAAAAAAATCCTTTGTGCAAAAAATATAGGCCAATACGATGCATTCATAATTTTTGGCAAAGCAGGTTGCGTTATTCAACCGTGCCTCAATAGGTGTCTAGAATCATCCACAGCACCTTCGTTCTCACTGTGAGCTTTTGTAGCAGGTGAAAATTACTGGACACCGCCTGAGCAGACATTCCCATTTTTTCCCCTTTATCAGGATAGTGATGTATTAGAATCTTGTGACCTTGTTGCTTTTGTACAAAAATGCCCTCTCATAATAAAAAATGAAAAAGTTGGGAAAGTATGAAAAATTCAGAAAAGAGGTGCACGTAACATGTCAAGAGTTCTCTGGGGAGCCCCTCCTCCTTTGAAATGGGATCCTAAATATAACTGGCCTTGCAAATTTTTAATTAGCGCAACAGCTGCCCGTCCTCTTACCATATTCTTCAATGGGGTTTCAGCTTTTCCACTTCTGCTTCTCTTGCAGCTGCTCCATAATTTCTTCTTTGGATTTCTTTATTTGGTTATTTCTGAAAAGACACCCTTTCCATCAGATCCACAGGGTGCTCTTTTATGGGGTGTGTGTATTGAATTGGGAGTTGGGGTCTGCAGCGGTCCAGGACTTGGGATGGGGGCTTCAGGTGCATGACTGTCAAGCACAGGAAATCAGTTCAAATAAATAAAGGTTTATCGCAAGCTTAAGCTCTCGACAAGAATCTGAACTACTAACAGTCAAAGCAAATTGGCGGCAGATAAGAGTCAAAGGAATTCAAGATGGGCTGGATTGAGATCTCTTGTGGGCACGAAGGGATTCGAGACTGATGACGCGCTTGGCCCCTCCCTCCCTCCCTCCCTCAGGCTCAGCCTGCTCTTCTACAGTGACCTTGATTAAGTTCGAGGGGTTTAGGCTCCCTTTCAGTCTTGACTCCATTTCCTATTTCAAAAATGGGAGTGGGGAAACGATCCATTCTCTCAGTCGCTTCGGACAGCCAGATGAATGGCACATAAACTTCCGTAAATAAATCGGGTGATGATGATTCAACTGCTGGTGACTACAAAAGTGTGCGTTTAGAGCAGGGGCCTCCAGCCCTGGCCACTTTTAAGACTGTACATCGACGCCCAGAATTCCCCAGCCAGCATAGCTTGCATTAGGTTTGTACTTGAAACTGGCATAGCTGGCGGGGGAATTCTGGGAGTTGAAGTCCACAAGTCTTAAAAGTGGCCAGGGCTGGACGCCCCTGATTACAGGCTGCAGGCAGCTTCCCTACCCCTTATTCCCCCCACCTCCTTGCACCTGCAAAGTACTCACTGTTGCAAGCATCGCTGCTGTTTCCCTCAATCAGGTGTTCGCCGCGCTCCAGGGCAGTGGCCCGCGGAATCTGGCCTTTCCTGGCAAGAAGGGATAAAGGGAGTGAGACAGCAGAGAGACAGAAGGCGGATAATCCGAGGATGCCGGTGGGTTTTAGCTTCCTCTCTCGCGCTCCTCGATGGAAGTGGCTTAAAGCTATAAATGGCCTGAAACAGAGTCAAAGATTTAGTTCTTGGCGTTCTTTGTGCGAGTCTTTCTCAACTAAACGCTCTTATAAACGGGGGTCCTCTCGGGACGATGCAGCTTGCCTTGTTGGCAAATGAGTGCCAGCATCCCATGACTCAGCTTTACGGTTTTTCTGAGGGTTTTTTTTTTTTTTTTAAGCCGAGGAACTAAAGCAGCACGGACGGATTGTGAATCAACTGCCCACAAACACACTATTATCTCACAGTAGTAGAGTTTATCTGAGAATGAAATGGTCTGAGCTACTTTTTAGAAACAGACAAGGAAAATGACATGGTCTGGTCAATATTAAAGAACAATGCCAAGTACATTAAGTATTTGATTCCAGAATGGGAAGCTTTATTCCGGCCGTTAAAACAGCCTGAATCTCTTTAGGTCAATATCTAATTTCAGCTGCTTTACCTGCAAAGGAAAAAAATTGCTCCAGCTACCAGGACGCTCAGAACGACGACCGAAGCCAACACAGCGACAAACAGTTCTCCCCTTGAATGACTCTTGATGCTCGGGAGCAAAACTGCTTCACAACGAGCTCCTGTGTAGTTGTCAACACACCTGGGAACAAAGATGAGTGAGTTTGTGAACTGAAACGAAGCCACCTTTTTTCCCCAGATTGGTCTCTGCTCTCTCCCTCTTAGCTTCCTCAGTCACCTCCAATACCATGAGCGTCAGAACCACAAATGAGGAATTGTGGAAAGTGTACTTTATGCAGGGCAGGTAGTTCCCCGTTTGTCATTTATTTGAGTCGCACTCTGTTCTGCAAGAATTCGAAGGTAGCATGCCTGCTACTCCTTCCTCCGGTTTTACCATCCCTGAGTAACTAGAGAAGTGTTTCTCGCCCTTGGCAACTTGAAGACAAACAGACTTCAAGTCCCAGAATGCCCCAGCCAAACGTGTGTGGACTTCAATACTCCAGAATGCTGTTTGGGGCATTCTGGAACCTGAAGTCCATATGTCTTCCAGTTGCCAGAATTGAGGATCAGTAAGTTACAGACAGTCCTAAATCTGCCAGGCTGAAAATGTTACAACTGTCTTTTCATTTTCTGCATGGGGGTTGTTTTGAGTAGACCCAGTAGCCTTGGAATCTGGGAAATGGCACGCCCCCAAATGTGCAGGTTTGGTCTCTGAAAACACAAATCTCCACTGCGTAAGGAAACATTGAAGTGCAAATCTAACAAAAGATTCCGGCTACTAAGAAGGATTGAAAAATCTGAATAATAAAATAACCCAGTGCTGACGACGGGGGGGGGGGGGGATACTTGAATCAGCAAATCATGGGATATGAGAGATTGAGGCAAAATGACACTGTTTGAGAATCAGACTTCAAAAAAAGTTTGCATTGGCTCGGTTTGAACAATACAGCAACTAAAATTGCACCCCAACCAGAATGAAGGCCGTTTGAAGGAGGCTTACAAAAATTAGGACGTGAACTGAGAAGAAGTTAAGATCTTTGAAAGATTCCCTAACCGCATTTGTAATTATAAGGTGACCAACTTTTTTACAATGAGAAGGGGGACACAAATAAATTGAAGAAAAAAAAGTGAGTCTAATGCATGCGTGTGTGTGCGCCATGTTGTGTTTCGGTAAGAAGTAAACAAAGCCACTTGCGTGCGGCGCACTCTCCAAAAAATTCTGTGCGGAGCGCATGCGTCTCATAATCATGTCTTGCCACACTGTACTGAGCCTTGTCACGTCAAATACAAATACGTCACATCACACGCAACGGATCGGATCGGCATCAGTCGAATAGGGAGATTTACAGATTAATCTTCAAATATCGAAAAGGAGGACATGTAAGAGGACACTTTTCGAGAGAGGACAGAACTTACAAAAGGAGGACTGTCCTTCCTAAAGGAGGATGGTTGGTCACCTTAGTAATTACAATGTGCACTACAATGTAATCTTGGATCTATCCGTAATGGATTAATATGCACGAAATTCCCAGAACTGAATGTTAAATTGGCCCCTGAAATTAAGTCTGCTTCATGATTCCACTTTCCATTGGTTGCAGGGGAGACTTCAGGGACATGAGAACGTCCTATTGTCACTCTGGCCCAGCAGATGTTAGCCAGATCATTGTGTGAGAATCGCTTGTTCTACAGATCTGTGGTATGTATGCATATATATATATATGTTTATGTTTTGTAGGCTAATCAGTCTTTTAGGAAAGAAAATCTACATTTTTAAATGTTGTAGGTAATGAATAAAACTGGAGGTACGCTTTGGCCCCGGATGATGCTTTGTAAATCAAACGGGTTGCTTGTAAGCAGGAGGAGAGGGGAAGAAGGAAGATGGAACAAAGTTCCCTATTTATAGAGACCTTTTTACAGTATATCTAACAACAAATTAGCACCTGAGCTATTTGGAAGTAAAAGGTTATTGGAATAACAAAGTACAGATAGTACTCAACTTACAACAGTTCATTTAGTGACCGTTCAAAGTTACAACAGCACTGAAAAAAGTGACTTTTTCACACTCAACGGTTGCAGCCTCCCTGTGGTCACGTGATCAAAATTCAGATGCTTGGCAACTGGTTCATATTTACAACGGTCGCAGTGTTCCTGGGTTCATGTGATAAACTTTTGCGACCTTCTGACTAGCAAGGTCAAATCCAGATTCGCTTCACAATCGTGTGGCTGACTTAATAAATGCCATGATTTACTTAACAACTGGGGCATGAAAAGTCGTATAATGGGGCAAAACTCACTTAACAAATGTTTCACTTAGCCAGATAAATTTTGGGCGCGATTGTAGTCGTAACCTGAGGACGACCTGTGCACAAACAACCCATATTGAGGGCTGAGGTACTTGCCTTTTACTATCTCTGTGGGATTTGCTACTGCGCTGATTTTAAAAAGCCTCTCTTTTCACTTAGGAAATATTTCCTCTTCCACTGAAATGCTCACTTTGACCATAAAGTGCAATAACTGTTTAGTGCTGAAAGGTAAACGGGAATTATCGATTCCCACATCCTGTGCTTGCTTATTTATTCAAAGGAATGGTGTAATTCTGGGCACACACATCCACTTGGTTACATAAGGTTTTCTTGCGTCACGAGTCTCTGAAATGATCTGATTTAGGCAACGGCTCTGATACGGTATCCCTTTTCCGGCTGCAATCTGTCAGTCTACAATTAGGCCAATATTGCTTGGAATTTCCTACTGTTCTCTCTCATTCTCTCCAGGGATTTCCCGGAGGCTTCGTGCCTGGGAAATTAGCTGATGCAGAGGCTCCAAAAGACTTCCCTTAAACAAGCACTTTTGTGGCTGGGTATCACATTTTTCAAGTTCAATAAAAACACAACACCGGGTCGAATTAGCAAGGACAGCTCTAAAAGGGGGGGGGGATATTTCTGCCATTTGAAAATCCTCCCTTTCAGCTAATGCACCAGCCAAGGGGCGAACTGTACGGTTTTGGGAAAGCGATTTGTCTTAAACTGCAAAGCGGAATTGTCCGTTGCTTAGCCTACCTGCAAAAAGGATTGGAAGCAGTAGGTATGGTATAACAGATGCCACCATTCAGACAGAAAGATCCGTAACTGCTGCCACAGAGTTCTTCATGATCTAAAATGGGTGGAAAAAAACAAAACCTCTAGACTTGAGCACGGCTTCCTTTTTTTTGCATAAATAGCACTCAGTAAAATAGAAGAAAAAAACACAAGGAAAGGATTTGCAATTAATGCAAAGAGTTTTCCTAGGAAAGCCTGAAGGTTTCATACGCAGGTCGTCCTTGAGCAACTTACAACCATTTGTTTAATGAAGTTATACCACAGCACTGGGAAAAAAATGACTGGCAGCCGGTTCTCACACTTATGACGGCTCAGCATCCCTGTGGTCACATGATTAAAATTAAAACCAGCATGTATTTACAAGAGTTGCGGTGTCCCAGCATCAAATGACCGCCATTTATAGGGGGGTTTTTTTTTGATAATCCAAGTCAATTGGGGGGCTTGGATTCACATAACAGCAAAAAAGGTCATAAAGCAGGCATTTTTAGTGGCTTGTTTATTTCTTAGATTTATATGTCACCCATCTCACAGAGTTACAGCAACTCTGGATGGCTCACAATATGATTAACAACTGCATCACTTAACGACAGAAGTTCTGATTCCAAATATAGTCTTAATAGAATAGGACAGGACAGGACAGGACAGAACAGAACAGAACAGAATAGAACAGATTGTAGAATAGAACAGATTGTAGGATAGAATAGAGTAGAGTAGAGTAGAGTAGAGTAGAGTAGAAGAGAAGAGAAGAGAAGAGAAAAGAAGAGAAGAGAATCTAGTTGGAAGGGACCTTGGAGGTCTTCTAGTCCAACCCCCTGCTCAGCTGAGAAATACATGTATATTGCCCTGACTATTGATATTCCTATCAGTAGACTGACAGCCCATGTGGAGTTGATCAAGTCCAGTCTCAGCCACAGAATTTCACACATTCTCTCTATTTTTTTCAACCCAACTACTCCCAGGATATGGATGCGATGAGGAAAAATAAGATGTGGAAATGCCCTGTATGCCACCTTGAGCTCCTCAGGAAAAGTTGGATAGATTTACATTCTATAAATAACAATTTGTCATCTGAATGAAGGTCCCACATAGCCAGGAAGAAAAAGGGGTGGGAATGAAAAGGTTTTTAGGTGACAGCTTCTTCAGAACTCAAATTTCTCTCAACCAATTTGTTTACAATAAATATCACTAAATAAAAGAAAATGTCTGCCTGGGAATATGGTGTACTATATGCAACAGAGATATAAGGAGAACTGGCTGGGTGACCTTGGGCCGGTCACTTTCTCTCAGCCCTAGGAAGGAGGCAATGGCATGTCTGAAAAATCTCACCAAGAAAACTGCACCGTCTTGTCCAAGAATCAGACACGAACAGAAAAAAAATAAAATAACCGTATCTATTGCTCTGAATAAATGTTTTACCCAAAGTCATTGAACATATCTCAAATATTATTTTGTTATTTTTGAACATTAAAGCTGTCTCCATGAAAACGAAGCATCACCTGGGGCTGAAAGTGGTGCTATGTTGCACAGGAGGTGTGAGAGTCATTGCTATTTCTACCATCCCTGAAAATGGGGCCATAAAATGGAGCCATAAATATCTTTATTTGGAAGCAGGGAACATTCACCACCCTGCAAATTGTGGGGACTCTTGGCCCATTTCCTCTTGCCCAAATTCCAAAAAGCAAAGCTAATTCGGAGCCTGATATTTTCAGTACTCTCTACCACGCTCTCTCTAGTAAAAATGGGGGTGGTGGGAGTGTTTTTCATGGCAGCTACCCCTGAGATCTTCCATCCTGGCTGTTACATCATAGATCGGGAGGGAGCCGTGCCAGCAGGGTGGGGAACAGTCCATTAATTCTCTACATCAATACATTTGGTTTATAGACTCATAACCTGACCAGCTGGTTTATCCAGTACTGCTCTTTGCTAACAAACTAAACTCAACCAACCAGAATTTCTATTTTTACGCTGAAGACTTTGCTTGGCGAAGACATTTGCTTCAGATTTTTAGAGAAGAAAGGAGAAGAGCCTTGATTGTGCCAGACGTTTGTGTTTTGGACACGACAGATCTGAGGTTAAGACTGCAACCTGTGTGTCCAGGTCAAAATAGTTAAAATAACAAAGTTAATGGTTTAGAAGCCAATAATTTGTTAGAGATAATGCCTAGAATTAACATCTCCCATAAACAGAAAGCTGGAGTGTCTTAGCAAATATCCCAACATCTGAGGAATAAAATAGGATTCTGCAGAATCCCAGATCATACTTGCCAAAGGACAGAGCGATGCTGTCTCATTCCTACCTTCTTGAATTATCTATTGAGCAAGCCATGGGATAATAGCAATAGATCACCTCACCTCCCTGGAGTTCAGTTTAGACAACTCAGCCAGAAGAATGCCACAGTCCAAAGAAACTAAGGAGAACTCCTCTTCATTTCTCATCTCATAAAGAAAAATTCATCATTTTGACATCCAGTCGTGATCTAAGCATCCAGTCTTATCTAAAACATCTGCTTGCACCAAAAGCATTGAAGCAAACGGTTTCTAAACAATTCCAAATACTTTGGGGCAAAATAATTTATTTTTTTCAGTACCCTGCCCAGAAGGAAATTTGCAATAAGGCGGCAACTGTTTATGACTTTAAAGCCTAGATTTGACTTTTTGAAAGTTCCACTCCTATGTTTTAAAATTTGGGGGGAAATGAATATGATGGAGTTAAAGGTTTAGGTCTTATGAGTCAGTCATACCTGCCTGCTGGATTTTTGTTATTGATCTACGTGCAGGCTGAGAGACAGGACAGACAAGGAGATGAGACGCTCAAAACCAGACTAACAAGGCAATCTGAAACGCTAGCTGAGAATTCTCCAGGCAAAAGCTTGACATCTCCATTCCTCACAAGAGGCTTGAAAAACACATCCATCGTGAACCGTGGGAGGAAATTTGCTTAATGTAAGGATTTTAAGGTATCAACAACAATCAAGCGATTATCAAAACTAGACTGCAATTGACAGTTTGATTCTGGGTTCTGAAGGATATCTCAAATTATAATTTGTCAGTTTGGCTACAATGGTACATTGCACTGATTTTAAAAGGCAGAAATGAATTATACCCCAGATGTAATGAGAAGGCCAATATAAACAACACACTTGTCCATATCCACAAATCATAATTTAGAACGTATTTGAGTTCAGTATATAAAGTACTTTGAATTCTCTAAAGAATTCAAGGTGTTAGTATCACATTCAGACCAGCCATCAAAACAATCAAATGCTTATATTGTACATCTAGATATGTAAGAGATACATTATTCCAAATAGGTATAACTTAATGCTAAAATAAACAAAAATATTCATGGAATTACCTGTTCGCATATTATTCTGACCACAATTTGTAATTCTTGGACACAGGCTATTCTTCAAAAATTGCCCTGCAGGAAAAAAAAACACCTTGTTTTAATCCAAATGTCTGCTATCTGATTAACTGCTACTTGGGTTAAACATCAAACTGAATACATTACCTTACTTACTACAGATAATGAATGACTTTAATGCTCTACATGAACTCAATTAATTTTAAATATAATGGCAAATCTTCCTTGCACTTGCCAAAACTTTGTTGGCTTAATGGTACTAATTTGAAAAAAAAAATAGTCTGGCTTTTTTTAGGTTACTTTGTTCCAACAGAATTGTTGGATTCCTGGAAATCTTGCAAGAAATAAATGAACAATGCAGAGATTCTTCAGATGATCTGATGAATTAAATTCACTGAGTTGATTCAGAACTAACCTTACATTTTAGCTGTTTTATAATAATCCTTTTCTGGGAGCAGAATTTTTGGGTACAGCCGCAGCATATCCTGATGATGTCATGTCAGTGTGTGGTGTCCAGTGTTGTCACTTCGTATTTTTTGAGATAATACTTTAATTTTAAAATCAGAATTGCATCCCTGATCTTATTTAAGATTGGCAGGCAAAGCTTCACTGTATTAAGACTTTAAAGAACTACGTGACCCTTAATTAAATACTTCTGCTTGCAATTAAACCCCATTTTGTTGCTTTCTAATAACTGAGTAAAGTTGATCCTATTAAATGACCCACTTAATTATCTTAATATCAATTTCTGAATTGGTATGGAGGAGGTTACATTAGTATTTCCCATTTGGTATTAGCATTTTCTCATGCTAAACAGAAGAAAATAACTATAAAATTTAAGAGAGCAATCATTACTATATTTTAAAATTTAAAATTTCAGAGAGAGGATTCTTAGGCTGCAATAGGACTTAAGCTGCAGGGCCCTCTAGCCCAGTGGTTCTCAACCTTTTTAATGACGTGACCCCCAACCGGTCGTAAGTCGAGGACTAAACAGGTCGTAAGTCGAGGACTAAACTGATCGTAAGTCGAGGACTACCCAACCGGTCGTAAATTGAGGACTTTCCCTGCCCGGGAGCACCACGCATGCGTGGTGCCACCCCCTGCGCCGGCCGAGGCGTAGCTGGCAAGCGGCAGAGACGGAGCAGGCTGACCAATGGCTGGGCCACCAGCTGGCCCAGCCCAAGGGAGGTAAGGCACCCGCCGGAAAAGGGGAAAAAAATGGTGGACAGCCTTGCTTGGCGACCCCCGTGAAATGGTCAATCGACCCCAAATGGGGTCGCGACCACAGGTTGAGAACCGCTGCTCTAGCCTCTCCAATTTTATGGTAGCAGAACAGTAACTGAAACAGGGGATGGAAATGACCATGGAGGCAATGTTTTACGTGTGTGTTTTTTCCTCCAGAGGTTTGCATTCTTTTTTTTTTTTAAAATCATATACAAACGTGCAAGGACTACTTTTACTTTAATTGGGGCCCTGAACATCTTGCTCAGAGAGAGAGAGAGAGACCACTGGTATAATGAGCAGCATATAAGTTTAATAAATAAATAAATAACATTGGTTCACACCTCCTCAAGAACTCTTTTTATATATATATATATATTTTATTTTCAATTTTGCAATACAATACAATCTTAGAAATACTTCAGATAAAAAAAATAAGACAAATTAATACACACCATTTTCGGTATTGCTCACCCATTTCCCCCCATTTCCACCCTCTAACCTCTTTCCCTCTTCTTTCTCTTCCTCCCTCACCCCCTCTCCTCCACCTTCCTGCTTACTTCTCACCTTCTTCTATCCTCTCACTCCGGATGCAGTCCGGGGGAAATGCCCAAGCAATTCCTCTCTCCAAATTGAAACCTCAATATATATACAACAAAAACTATTTCTACTTGTCTGAACTACTAAAATTCCCACTCATCCTTCCCCACCCCCCTCCCCCCCTGATTTTCCAGAGCTAAGTACAGGATTATACAAGTATACTAAACATAATCTAATTAAGTTTACTAATTATACAAAAAGCAAAATCATACTAACCCTTAAAGAACTCTTTAAAGAAATGCCCTGTGACCTTTCGCAATACACAACTTGCAGGTAGGGTACACCACCTCTTGGCTATTTGTAGCCTTCCTCCTGCAGGTCAAGAGGCTGGCTAAATCAATCTCAATTCAGTTGTGTCCTTTGGGAAACTCGTGGTGTGGCTTCCCCTAGCCCGGAAAGATCTTTGCAGTTACTTTAGCAAATGCTAAACATAGTTTGCTCATACCAGTTGTTTGTGAGAGAGAATGTGGACATCAAGAAACCACACTTTCTGACATCCACTTAAGAAATTTATAACGTATGGGAATATTTCACAAGTGCTGTGGTACAAAACACAAAATCTCCAGGAAACACCCCTTAGGGCAGGCTTATTTAACCTTGGCAAGTTTAAGCTCTGTTGCCAGAATTCCCAATCCCCAGGGGAACTCCCAATCTGCATGCTGGTTTGGTTCTGGGAACTGAGGTCCACACAGCTTAAAGTTTGCTAAGGTAGAGAAACGGGATGAGAGAGGCAGTCTGAAGGAAACAGGCTGTTCGCTATTGAAAGTAAAAGCTCATAAGGGAATTTACTTCTATGTAGGCATCCATAAGGTTTGGTTTCGTTTTATTTTAATCATATTGTAGGTATTTTTAATTTTGTATAGTTCATGGGGCCCACTGAGAATCACAAGACTGCAGTGAGATAGATATTCAGCAAGTAAATGAGCAAATAAATAAATGTAATCTCATTCAATTAGTTATAACTCTGAATCAGTCTGGAGAACTATCTGTTTTACAGAAGCTGGAAGGATGAGAAAAAGATCAGCAAGCTCACTCCCAGAACAGAATGTATTATCATTTCCAACTATTACTTCTTTCAGTTTATATAGGGCAAATAAAATTTGAAACCGGATATTGACAAGAAAATTCTAAGAGTTGATAAATTGCAGATTCAAATTATTTAAAAACCTAATCACAAAACTGTAATGCACATTTAAAAAGCAATTCTATGCAAATATAGTCCAAAATAAAATGAAGTGATTGCAAGAGAACTTATTTTCAGATATATAATATTTTAGCCTGAGGGAGATCTTGGCAAAGTAGCAGTTTTCTACTCCACTAAACAACATATTAACTTACATGCTGTTTTCCTCAAATATGTATTTGTCTGTTGTTGTTCTTTTAAAAAAAATATTTTCTTTATTTCTGCAGTAATGTTTTGAAAAATGGGATAAGGTAAACAGAATAACAGCATATGACCTTTCTCTTTGTATAATTTTGCTGCAAGAAATTTACACCAGAACTGCCTCTCGCTACTTAATTAATCATTAGATTACTTGTTTCTTTGTGGACCCTGAATTGTTGGTATTTAATTTTTGACTTGAAATATTTTACATTTGCATCAAAGAACATAAGTGTGTGCCATCGTTGTGAGAATAAAATCCTTGAAACAACCTCTTTGCTTATCAGTGAAGGATGATCAAGTATGGATTTATCAATAGGCGAGAAATGTCTATACTTACTCTATGACTATAACCAAATGCTGGTGCTCCTTGCAAGGTGGTTTGATGTCTTTACGGTTTTGCTACGTCTGCTGATTCTGCAATACATAGATGGAAATACAGTTCCTTGTATTATGTAAGTCTGGCCCCTGTTTTGCTTTGTGGCTTCTTCTTATGCCTCATCGACCTTATAGATAGGTAAGACAGCGCAGTTTTCAAAACAGCAAGCGGCCTCGGTTAGAACAAAACAAAACAAATGGAGAGGAGAGGAGCTTACCTGGGTGTTAATATCCCAAAGGCTTGCCCCAAATTAAAACCATGCACCCAAAGGTAAAAAGCCGTGTGCTCATCCACGAGGTTTGGCATTATGCACCTGATGCTTTAAAGCTGGAGATTTATAGGACGGCATCGTGCAACCTGGGTGAGGTTGACACACGCTCAAAAGTATACACAGAGGCCAAGTATGGGCTGGAGAACCGCCCCTTTGTTCTCTGGGAACGGAAGACCTGTCAATCTCCCAGGAGACTTTGATCGTAAAATGAAAATGCCCTGTCACTGACATTGGAGTGAACTTCAGAGCAGCTCCCAAATAGCAACACAAACAAACGGCGGACCCAATCTCTAGTTACCACATCGGAAGGGCACTTAATTCCCTTTCGACTCTACGAGGGTTCCAGGCTACTCGGCAGTGTCAGAGAAGCCCCTGCCTGCAATTGTATAGGAGCCACTATTTGCAACTCCTTCCCATAAGCGGTTGCAGTGTAAGGTCACTGCCCTTAGGACAGCCGAAGTGTTATTGATGTGACAAGGATATTTTTATCACCTGTTTTGCACATGGGGCACAGCCAGGCCAGACAGTTTTTTTCGTTGTGTGTGTTTTGAGGGGGAAGGAGATACAAACCCCCCCCCCAGTTTCACCAGCCTGACTTACGCACGGAAGGGTAAAAGACAAAGGGTCTTGAACTCATTGGGAGGGAAAGGGCACGGCTTCATGTGCACGCTGCCACCGGACCGACTCTCCTTGAGGTGGGCTTTCCAGGATTCAGAAGAAACATCCTAACGTTCTTGAGAGGCAGGGAAAGTCTGGGAATCCCGCCAGAGGGACAGCAGGAAGACCAAGTCTGTAGGGCAAAGGGAAGGTCGGGACAGCGGTGCGGAAGACTGGCAAGGCATTTGTTGCTCTTGGGAAATCGTCTCAGATTTGGTCAGAAGATTCGTGAGGTGAGTTTTGCCCCCATTTTACGACCTTTCTTGCCCCGGTTGTTAAATGAATCATTGCAGTTGTTAAGTTAGTAACACGGTTGTTAAATTAATCTGGCTTTCCCATTGACTTTGTGTATCGGAAGGTCACGTGACCCCGGGACACTGCGATTGTCATAGATATGAGCCAGTTGCCAAGAATACTCCCAAAGTATCATACCACGATTGTTTCACATTAATGTCTAGAACAGGGGTGTCAAACTCAATTTCATTGAGGGCCGCATCAGCATTGCGGTTGCCCTCGGTGGGGCTGGGTGGGTGTGGCCAGAGTGGGTGCAGCCTACTGGGTGGGCGTGGACAGAGTGAGTGTGGCCTACTGGGTGGGCATGGACGGCTGTACATTGTTCGCATCAAGGGGGCCTGTGGGGGCCTGGGCAGGAGTGGGACAGATCTGAGGGTCTCTGGCAGAAGGGGGGGGACCGGGGCAAGCGCCAAGGCATGGTCCATTTCTTCATTCCTCACAAAGGGTGACCCCTCCCCAGCATGCACCCAGGGGCGGGGGCGACGCGGCAGGGGCTGGTTCCTCGCTGTTTCTGGACAGCCTTGTGGAGCTAAGACTGAATGCGTTTCAGCATAGATGGCCACCACAAAATTGTACATTGGCTCCCGGCCGGCCTGAGCCAGGGCCAAGGCAGCGGGGGCCGTTCCCTCACTGTTTCCGGGATGGCTTCGCGGGCCGCATGAAACCACTTCGCGGGCCGCATCTGACCCCTGGGCCTTGTGTTTGACATGTCTGGTCTAGAAATAATGAGATAGACACTTTAAATATTTAACCCAGATAAGTTTAGACTTACTGAAAGTTTTGAATGTGGAAGGAGAGAATCGGGAAATGCCAAATCACAGTTCTCAGTTTTTAAAATTACCACTTTCAAATTCTGAATCCTATAATCACGTATATCAGAAATGGTTTTTTTTTCCCAGTGGACTCATAGTTCATTAAATCAGAGATGGTTCCCTGATGCTTAGTTGGCAAAAAGTACAAGATAATATAAACCATTCTTCATAGCTTATTGTTATACGTGAACCGGGCACTTTGGCTTATTCAGCAAATTCTGCATAAAATATTGTCAAGTTACCCCATAATAGAGAGAGTATTTTTGATAAACCCAAGGGCATGGAACCTATCCCAAGAGTTATTTTCCATAAACTTACTATTCTTAATCGGATTGTTGAAGCATCTTCCAGAACTCTAGATGTAGCCATGGGGAAAATAATATATATCTTGCATTTTGGAAGTGCAGCTATGGTAACTGCTCAAACAAGGCAAATCTCAGTGGTTGCATTATAGATAGGAATGCTGTGCTGACATGAAAAAAATGTATGGTTCCTGAATCTCTCCCAGCAACTGATTCTCTTGCTGAAATAGTTTGTGACCTGGTGTAGGAAATAATCTTTCTATCTGGAACTGACAGGGTGATTCACTCTGTTTGCAAAACGATACCATTTTACTTGAAACCTTGTCATAAAAATACGGTGACACATCTGCTGACATAGTCAGTGGAGTATTCGGAATTTTTTTTTTTAATAAAAAAAAAGATACTTCATGGTACACTCTTATTCTAGCCTGTCCTGCTGGTTCCATCCTTTCCGACTCTGAAAATTTCAGGGCAGAGACGGGCCTCCTTGTGTCAATAGTGGTATTGATCATTAAGTATCCAAGATATAGTCAGGAGGAAAGGTGGACCTCATCTCTCATTAGGCAAAACATTCTCCACATTTCCTACATCTTAGGACACCGTTTTCATTGTTGTTAGCTACCAATACATGGTCCACATCATAGTTTACCGAACTAACTGATTAAATGGTTTGGCTCGTCATAATTTAATTTCACTGTTGCTGTTTAAATAGTAAAAAAAAAAAGCAACTAAAATCTGCATCAGAACAACACTTTTATTAGAAGCAAAAAAGTGGGCACTTAGAATTAAATCCTAAAAAATTTCTCTCTCTCTCTCTCTCTCTCTCTCTCTCTCTCTCTCTCTCTCTCTCTCTTTCTCTCTCTCTCATCCTTGGCAAAAGTTGCCAGATTGGACCTGTGTCACTCAAAAACCATTCTTGCTTAGCAATGGAAAAATCCAGTTTTAAGTCCAGGACTACCTGTAAAGTAATATATTTAGCTGAAGAGAGAGAAAAATAGAAGGTGGCATTTAGTTTCTGCCTATTTGGGGGAAGCTGTTTCGTTGCGGATTGCTTGGTGGCGCTGGCCAAGCAAATACTAGATCAATAATTACAATTTATTATCCTGGTTTCCCCATTTGGGGTTAAAACGACCGAGACGTAGCAATGCAAGAATTGAGGTGGGGAGGAGGCTAGAGAGGTAAACACTGCTTTTGCTTTAGGAGGAGTTCTCATCTTACAAAGTCCTCCTTTGTTTTTGTGGCTTCAACCTTGGAAGAGACAAATCCTCACCTTCAAGGCATCGGTAGTTCAGTTCAGCCGATTAATAAATACGGCAGGGACAAAATTGATACAGGCAGAGCTCTGGGAAAGGAAGAAGGAATGATGAAGACTCTCCTCGTCCCCTACAGCAGAGCTCACGTATCACAAATGAATTCTGACTGGTATCCCAGCATTAATATAAGCATTTCCAATCTTTTGAATATGCAGGGGAGGCAAATCAAGGTAAAACCAGTTGTGAAAAGAAATGAATCGGTACAGAAGTTACAAAAATTCATGGTGCCATTATTTTTTTTCCTGAATTTGCTGGGGTCTAGGCTAGATTTTTTTAGAAAAAAAATCTTGGATGAGAGGGTAAACAATTTTCCTGCTGTTGCCCACAGAAAAGCCTACAGAGATATGGTCCCCAAGACTTGACTCAAGCAAGAGATTGGTAAAAATAATAGGTTAAAAATACGAAATATTTGCAACAAGATCTCCCCTGCCCAATAAGTGTGGCTTGCTTAATGCCAAACCCAAGTGAGGGACACCATTCCTACGTTTCTCCTTGAAGACTGTGGCTTGTTTCCTTCAGCTGTCCTGGATAGTTTATTCTTTACTCAGATATGGGTGGATGTAATTTGGTCAACCCTGGCATGGATAAGAACTGGTACTGATTTGGATGCTTTGATGCCTTTATCATAGGACAAGGTTTCTCAACCTTGGCAAGTTGAAGATAGGTGGACTTCAAGTCCCAGAATCCCCCAGCTAGCATAGGAAGTTCTGGGAGTTGAAGTCTACCCATCTTCTATCAATCTTCAATTTGCCAAAGGTTGAGAAACACAGTCATAGGAGAATAATTTCGCTTATTTCGCTAATTCATGCTGTCGATGCAACAATTATTTCTGGATCGGTACGATCTATCTAGCACAGTGGTTCTCAACCTGTGGGTCGGGACCCCATTTGGGGTCAAACGACCATTTCACGGGGGTCGCCAAACAACGCAGTCCGCCATTTTTTCCCCCTTTTCCTTAGCTGTGCTACTCCCTTTTATTCTATTGGCTTTTGAAAGCCAATAGAATAGACTCTCTTGAATAGAGTCTAATTCTATTGGCTTTCAAAAGCCAATAGGAATTGTCCAGGCTGTCTCTGCCCTGCTGAGCCCGCCAAAAGTCCCATTCTGCAAACGGTGCTGCACCAGTTGAGTAGTCCTCGACTTACGACCGGTTGAGTAGTCCTCGACTTACGACTGGTTGGGGGTCGCGGCATTAAAAAGGTTGAGAACCACTGATCTAGCATCCTCTCTCATCGGGCATCAACTGCCTATAATGGCAGGCATTAAAAGTGCTGTGAATTACAGGTTTAATTTGTGCAGGTTTGTGTTTTCAGTGTAGCTTTGTTTTCTTGAGATGCTACTCTGGTTACCATGGGGGGGGGGAAACCATCCTTGAGGCCTCTTGAGGTTTCCAGGAAGGTGTATTGTGACAACAAGATGATATTAACTGGTTACAGGCAGGTTTTACTAGAGCGAGAAAGGTGCCCTACCTCTTATAGTTTCTACCAACACATCAGCCATTTCTTTCTCTCAACGGATTGTTATTGCTTCTCAAACCAGAAAGCAGAAATGACAATTGTAAGAAACTTGAAGATAACAGAGAAAAGTAAAAAACCAGATGGTTTACTACTTAGCTATGTTTCTGCCTCTTGAAGCCTGAAATGCATGTGTAATATCCATTATTATAACCTTAACTGTACTTACTGTGTGGTTTTATTG